ACATGCAGTGGTCAATAGGTTTCCGCATAAAACACTAAAATGCAAATCGCATGTTACTTGTGTTTTTGTTTTTCTATAAATAAGACCGGAGAAATAAAAGCTGTTCGCTGGTTAAATATCTCACAGGTCCTCCTCCTCCTCCTCGCTGCCTGAAGGGCTTTTTTCCAGTTGGCCCGTTGACAGCCTGATGATTCTGTTAAGCTGAACCTGAAGCTGTTGAGATCAACACCCCTGTTGTGTCCGAGGTGAACATTGGAACAAGTACCTTATTCCCCAAGTCCTTGTTAAATAAGCCTCATGTTTCTGTGGATGGTGGTTCTATCTGATGGATGGTGGTTGTTCCTGTAGTGGTCCTTCCTGAGATCCACTGCTGCTCTCATTACTATTGCTGGTATTACTATTGTTATCGTGGTCAGTCTAATACATCCACTGCAGCTGTTATTATTGGGAATCATATTAAATGTCTTGGGCTGCCACCAATAGCTGAATCATTTCTCTCATAAGCATTGAACGTGTAAATCTCATTGTTCACTCTGTCCACATGACATGTGAAGCCCTCCTTCCATCATCGTCCATCTCCTGCTCTTCCTCAGGCTTCTTATTTTTGGGACAGAGGTTGTTGCATGTTGTGCGGATTGTAAAGCTCTATAAATGTGTAATGGTGTCCTTAAACATCAAATTGTGACACCTCATTGATCTTCTCTTTCCCTCAGTGATGATGGCGGCGGCGTTTGGCCCTGACGTCGGCTCATGGTTGTCGGCATCAGGAGTCGTCGGTTTCTTCATCCTCCTCCTCCTCCTCTCCATCTTCCTCTCCCCTCTCTGCAGCGGGTGCAGCAGGTCAGCTGGTTCTTTGTACTACATTTCTATTTGTCAGCGCAATGCTCAAACCAACCAAAACAAAAATCCCAATTTAGATTCCAGGTATTAGATTCTGCTCACAGGCTCCAGCACACAAAGGGAGGGGTGAGCAGAGGTCACAGGTCATGTGGTTACTCGCTGTCTGTCACCTGTGTCACTAATCGTACACACTGGAGACTTTGATCTCTTCAAGCTTAATTTAAGATACTTTGACCTTTGCACCACCGAGGAGGCCATGATTTAATGTGACAGATGTGTGTGCAGTTTTATATTTTCCTCCCTCTCCACTACTGCAACACAAAGTGTGTGTGTGACTCCAGGGAACTCGATGAGATGTCCCAAAGTAACTAAACCTCCGTTGCTATTGGTCCAAATTTCCCAAATCAGAGAAAGTTCTGGTTCCAACGTTGCCTGTTGAATATTGAGACATTAAGCACCAGCACAATGTTTCATGTCACTTGGGCTATGTCTATGTGCTGGAACGTATGTGCTACTTCAAAGCCAGTTTACATACAACGGATGCTTGCTTGCTTACTTTGCAGCACTAGTTGCTAATATTGATACCAGCGGTTGAGTGTGAAGGACTCAACCGCAACTGTATGATTTTATGATCTCACCTTACTTTGCATGTAAAATATTTATCTGCACCAGTTTGAAACGAGATGAGTGTGTTTGGATGCAGGAGGTTCGCAGAGGTTCATTTGACTGGACATATTTACACACTGTGGATGAGAGTCAACTTTATCGACATTGCATAGAGCACAAGAACTGAGACAATGAAATGTAGTTCAGCACCCAAAGAGGTCCTGTGCATGTGGCTCCTTCCACACAACGCTTTCACCTACTTTTAAATACACCAAAATCATCTTAACTTCATAATCCCATAAGTAATGTTCAAAAACAAAAGACTGACCATGCAAAAATAACTGTTTATTCATATTAAAGAATTGATTCATGTTTATTCATAGTAATAAGGTTCAATGTTTCATTTGGGTAATATGTTCAAAAATGTGTGTAGTGAGGTAAAGGCTAAACTATACTTCCAAGTATTATATAAAGTCCTGTACATGCAGTATATAAAACCCTAACTCACCATGTTTGCTGGCTGCTTGCTGGGTCTTTCTGTTCCCAGAGTCAGAACTAAACCTGGAGAAGCAGTGTTCGGTTTTTCTGATCCACATATCTGGACCAAAGTCCCAGAAAGCTTCTTTACCTCCCTTCAAATCCAGATTAAAGACTTTTCGGTTCGCTGCTGCCTTTTAATGGACCGTTTCTGCAATTCAGAATTCTTAAACTCTACTACATTATTTTATCCTTTAATGCTAATGATAATAACGTTTTTCTTTTATGTTTCAATCAATGTTCTTAACTGTTTGTAAAGCTCATTAGTGATGTCATGATTTACAAAACTTAAAGGAGAATGTCAGAATGTGAATTAACTGTTATGCTGTTTTACAGTTAAAATTAAAAACAAAAATAAATAATACAGGGCCCAAAATCAATGAACGCCCCAGACGTCTCTGGCTAGTGTTCTCTTCATGTTTACAATATATTATTTTTAATCACGTTTCGCTTTTTGTCTCTTTGTGTTTTATAGACGTTCATTCGAGCTGAGAGACTCTGAGGTGGACAAAGATCCTTCAACTCTGATTAAAGTGGTAAGAACTCCATCCGAATGTTTTTCCTGTTTATTTTGTTTAAACAATGAAGCGTCAATCAAGTATCATGTTGATTGGCAGGCGAAGCTGGAGGACGGCTTGGTGGAGAGAGAGAATCCCAGGATCAACGAGGACCTGAAAGACGACATAGGTCGGTCAAGTGCTGACCAACAGAACCAACCGGGTCAGTCTGCCCCATCAGTAAATGTTCAGCATGCATGTAGCCATGACAGGCCTGTGATTGTACATCACAAGGTGAGATGCACCAAACATCCCGGCCAATGACATGCAGCTCAAACAAGCCCACAGAGACTGTGGTCCGCCCTCTTTTGTGTCCGATTCCAATAATCCAAACCCTGGGGGGTTCAGGGTACAAGGCACTAAGGGTCCAGGGTTTAAGGTCTTAGGGGGGACACTGGGGGTTCAGGGTTTAAAGCCTTGGGGGGGCACTAAGGGCCCAGGGTGTAAGGTCTTAGGGGGGACACTAAGGGCCCAGGGTGTAAGGTCTTAGGGGGGGCACTAAGGGTCCAGGGTTTAAGGTCTTAGTGGAGGAAATAGTGTGTTCCATTGTAAGAATGTAGATCAGTGATGTATTTGTGAATCAAACAGTATTCAGAGGATTATATATAAATTTGCTCAACAATATAATCACCTGGCCTGCAGTCAGTGGTCTTAAGGAATGAAGATATCTTTAGTGAGGGTGTAGCTGCATGTGCATCTCCTAGAAGAAGATACTTGGTGCTCTCTATTTGTACGTTTGTGTAAGTTTGAGATTAGAGACGAACCTTGAGTTTAAAGGCTAATGTTACACACTGAAATATGACAGTCTCCATTCTGGAATACAGATTTATTCTGTAAATACAACAATCAAATACATATCTAAAACAACTGTCTGTGCTTCCTACGCTGGTCTGACCTACTTGTTTTTAGACAATTATAACACACAACATATAACGAGAGATAACATGTAACTAGACTCGCTAATCAACACTTTCAACACACCACTGCTTCCATCTGTCAAGTGACTCAACATGCACCTTACACACGTATGTAGCACTTGTCTGGGCTAGTATTAGAAAAGCACAAAGTATCTACCTAGATTTAAAGGAGAGGTACCTTAAGACAAAGAACAAGTTGAACAAATGACCAGTTCATTGCTTCACAATTGGTCATGGGTCAACAATATAAAACCAGTGTAAAACAAAAGAGAAGAGTTGATTGTTGGGAAATTCTATCACTCTTGTAAATGAACTCAGTCTTGTCAGTGTGTGTATATGTACAGTTCCCAGGATACAGTCCGTTCAGTCCATGAATAGTGTTCTGGTCTTGTACCATGTGTACTGTATCTCTAAACTACCTGACGGCAGGACTGGGGTCTGATGTCGTCTTGATAAGCGAATCAGGTTCGGTCTGGATCACACGGTAGGCCACACCGCATCCACGATGTGGGTTTAGCTCACATCTCACCACAAAAACTAGCAAACTAAGCATTGCGCTTGTGTACTTTCCTCACCTGTGAATACAACACGACAGTCGAACATATCTGCTCAAAACGACTGTCTGTCCTTCAACGCTGGTCTGACTTGTAGTAGTATTAGTAGTAGTAGAAGTATTACGGCGCCTTCATGCCCATAGATATATCAAAGTAGGTGGGTTCAAAAAGTCACACAAAGCGGTTTCAAACATAATAACCAAAAAAACACAGTGACGAGGGTACTGACTAATATCACAATTCAGAAACAATGTTAGCCCTTAAGTGCCACACAGAGCAGAAGGAGGGCCTCGTTACTGTAAAACTGCTTTGATAACGTCGCGTTCTGGTCACAGACAGAACACGTTTGACAGTTTGCCGTTTTGAAGTCTTGAGGACTCCAATTCCGTCGTATCTCAGATTACGGTCGTCGCAAATTTGTTTTTTGCAACCAATGAACAGAAGTTACCATATATGGACAGGGGGGGGAGGGACTTAGAGACACTGTGTACTCTCTGGTAGCAGCGTTGACCTGTCAATCACAGTATCCCCGCCCTAAAGCACCCTGTTCTATAGTCTATCTGACTCTAAATGGACCATAGTTTACTAAAGGAACATCGTGCTGTATTGACGATAACTTGAAACTGGAGGTTGAGACCTTAAACGCATGTTTACAATGTTCACTGAGGGAATAAATCAAGAGAAGCAGAGCCTTTTTCTCGTAGATTTTTATACAACCAGAAGAGTCTCCCCCTGCTGGTCAGTAGAGTGTGCGTTTTAAGACGCGCTCGGCAGAACCAGCAGTTGCCGCTCTATTGGCTCTTAAATAGAAAAAAGGGAACTGGAGAGAAGCCATTGTAAAATAAGACAGGAGTGACTGACAGAAAGAATGACATAATGTAGGAAAAAAAGAGTGAAACCATTATTTCCGTCTTACAGATATAAACAGTTCCATCGCTCCACACAGCATCTACCAAACCATCGGGGGAGAAGGGAGCAATTTGACCAATCACCAGCCAGGGGCGGAGTCCAGCGTTTCTGCTGACGTGAATTCGGTGTACGCACAGGTGAGCAAGAAGGAGAGAGCGACCGTGTTCCCTGATCGTTCTCCTGAGGAGGTGCTGGAGAAGGTGTCTTCTCCTCCACTGCCCGACAGGAAGGCACAGCTGGAGTGATGACGATGAAGGACGAGGGACAATGGATGAAGAATGGCAGCTAAAGGACAAAGACTTAAAAGACAGTGATGATACAAAAGAAACTACGCTTTCTATGATTTCAGAAGCGAAAGATTGTTGAATGCGTTCTAGTTCTACTCCTGTGGATCCTCTCTTGCGCTGCACATTTTCCTCGCAATAATTAGAGGCGTATAAAAGCCAGATGTTACATATCTTTCAGGGCCGCACCGCTGGTCAATGACGGACGAGTACATCGAGTCCTTCTTGATTTCATGCTGGTAGATGCAGTAATGCTTTTTTCAGAATGCTCAGGGATGCACAACCAAATTCAACTTTTGTCCATTTGTAAAAGAAAGCCAAACCAGTGGAACACTCCTGCAGTTCACTCTGTAATGACTATGAAGGATCTGGATCAACTGGATCTAGGTTTCGATGAAGATCTGTGCTCAACAGTCACACGTATCAGCGTTTTCTCTATACCATCAGATTTCTTTTTGCGGCCAGAGGAGTCGCCCCCTGCTGGTTAGACGACAGAATGCAAGTTTGAAGACTCTTCTGCTTTACAAGCAAGAGCAGAGGTCGCTGCGATCAGCCCTCTGACAGCTTTTGAGAAATGTAAATTAATTTGATTGACAGGGGGCACAAACTCAATCAACAGAAAGATCCCAAAACAAGTTATCTGGAAATATGCCAAAGGAGTAACTGCCCAGCGCTGAGGCAAAGCACAGGTCAATGATGTATTTAGTCTTTGGATTTACGTTATTTTATTTTCTCTCAGTAACTTTAATGAATAACGATGGCATTTATTTATCTAATGCTGTTATATTATAACTTCCAACTCTGAAAATATGCTTGTTTCTAAACATGCTTCCAGGTTCATTTGTAAATATTTACATAAATAAATGTCATTCCAGGACTTAGCTGGTTTTAAATGCCTATTTAACAAAATTAATAGAAATACATAAATTGAAATATAACACACGTTATTTATATATATTTGTATTCCTTAAGGGGATTTACTCCAAATAAAAAAATGTGTAAAACTTTTGATTGTCCTTTACACCACTTTGTCCATAACAGTTGTTCCCAAACTGGGGGTTGTGGCGTCATTGCAAACCCTACAATATGAGAGAGAGAGAGAGAGTCAGTCATTACAGTCATTTCAGTCATTAGTCACTATGGCATTGGCCCGTCTTCCCGCTCAGGATCCTCCTCCGCCGGTCAGACGCCTCACTCAGCCCCATTTCCTCCATCCCTGGTGATCTTGAGGTTGATCTTCCGTAGGGGGAAGACCTCCCGCTGGGTGTAGTCTGCAGCACCCTTCTTCGTGCAGCCGTGTTGAACGGAGCGCGCGAACTTCTCCAAGTCGGAGAAGTAGTCCTCCAGCTCCACTCCTCTCTGGTTCTTGGTGGCCCGCAGGAACGATTTCATCCGCCCCACCCCGTGCCTGCTGGTGACCGTCCCCCCTGAGGAGACGCTGTCTTCAGAGGCCCACCCTGAAGAGGACCCTGACTCCACACCTCCCACCTTTCTCTGCGCCCCCCTCTTTTTGCCCGAGAGCCTCCCCTGTTGGCCCTCGTCTTCCTCTTCAGGCGGGGGGCCTTAAAGTCCACCCCCCCTCTTCCATATCTTCCTCGCTGTTCGAAGGTTCCACCTCGAACAGCTCCCCCCCTACCGAGTGCCCCCATCCCCTCTTTCACTCGGTCACACACACCTGCCCGCTGGGCTGCATTCAACCCCCCATCCACTCCGACATTCATCCCCTCTGACCCCTCACCCACCTGACCGACCGGCTGGCCCTCACCCAATCCCACACTCACCCCCTCACCCATCCCCACAGTCACCCCCTCACCCACCAGACCGACCGGCTGGCCCTCACCCAATCCCACACTCACCCCCCTCACCCACCTGACTAACCGGCTGGCTCTCCCCCAATCCAACACTCTCACCCACCTGACCGACCGGCTGGCCCTCACCCAATCCCACACTCACCCCCTCACCCATCCCCACAGTCACCCCCTCACCCACCAGACCGATCGGCTGGCTCTCGCCCAATCCCACACTCACCCCCTCACCCATCCCCACAGTCACCCCCTCATCCACCTGATCGCCCGGCCGGCCCTCACCCAATCCCACACTCACCCCCCACCCATCCCCACAGTCACCCCCTCACCCACCTGACCAACCGGCTGGCTCTCCCCCAATCCGACACTCTCATCCACCTGACCGACCAGCTGGCCCTCACTCGTCGCCACACTCACCCCCTCACCCGTCGCCACAGTCACCCCCTCACCCACCTGACCGACAGGCTGACCCTCACCCGTTGCCACACTCACCCCCCTCACCCATCGCCACACTCACCCCCTCATCCATCGCCACACTCACCCCCTCACCCATCGCCACACTCACCCCCTCATCCATCGCCACACTCACCCCCTCACCCATCGCCACACTCACCCCCTCACCCATCGCCACACTCACCCCCTCATCCATCGCCACACTCACCCCCTCACCCATCGCCACACTCACCCCCTCATCCATCGCCACACTCACCCCCTCACCCATCGCCACACTCACCCCCTCATCCACCTGACCGACCGGCTGGGCCTCACCCCCTCCCACACTCGCCCCCACATCCAGCGGAGAGGGCGAGGGGTTCCTCACCGGGCAACCCCTCGCCAGGTGTCCCTCTCCACCGCAACGGAAACACCTCCCATCGTCCGATGTGGCAAACATGGCGAAGTCAAACCCCTCGATCCTCACCTTAATCACCAGGTGGAGGGCCTGGGGTTTGGTGAGGACCATGTGGAGTTGTCTCCTGTGAGACACCACGTGCCTCATTAAAGGCGACTTGCAGCCTGAGGACAGCTTTTTAAGCGGGGACACCACCTTCCCGTGTTTAACCAGCTCCTCCAGCAGCACTCCGTCAGGGACGAACGGCGGAACGTTCGCCACCGTCACCCTGACGGCGGCACCGCGAGCGGAAAGACGGGCACGTGCGCCCCGCGGACCACCACGCCGCTCGCCACCACCTCGCGCGCCTTCTCCACGCTGTCCACAAAAATGACCACCACGGCGGACTTCACGCTCCTGTGACCCACCGACCCCCCCACGGCCAGACCGCAGTCCTCCACGGAGCACGCGAAGCCCGGCGCGAGCTTCACGCCGTGAGGTCCGACATGCCGACCGGCTACAAAACACAGACAAAAAAACCCCAGAAAGAGACAAAAGTCACACATACGCACCACCACGCACTCACCCCACAACACACACCAGAAACCACACCGGAAGTAAACGAAATAACAGATTGAAAACACAATTCAAACAATTCACCTCACGCTCCGCACACTCAGAGAGAGAGAGAGAGAGACGTTGAAAAAATGGTTTGAAAAGCTTCTGGTTTTTGCACTGTCGCCAAATTTTAAGATTTGTAAATTTACTTGCAAATATTTTTACAAAATGAAATTAAACTTAAGTGAGATGTAATTATTTTATAAATAAAAACACATTTTTCTATACAGTTTATTTTCAGCTAATTGCATTATGATATATAAAGAAGGAATGGCCCAATTTTTTAGTTTGAGGTCTGGGGGGGTCTTCTAAAGGGGCCCCTGACAGAAAAGGTTTGGGAACCGCTGGTCAATAACGTGCCATTGAAAGTTTACAATGAGAAACGCCACCGAGCAGACATGGATTATTACATCAGACTCCATTGCTGCTTGACTGAGTGGGAGCCGGCGGACTCGTCTTCAGCACCTTTACCTGCTCGCTGCAGGGGGGCCCTCACAACGCAATCAGCTACTGCAGCGAACCTCACAGTGGGGGGTGAATAGTTCATGGCGAGATGTTGCGTAATCAACATACAATGCACGTATCAAATTAATGTAATGAACATAATGACAAGAGAAAACTCACAAGGAGCAGTCACATTTATTTACACCATGACAAAACAATCCATCGAAATGAAAGCACCAAAGCAGCGCACGCTAGAGAGCATCTATCTTTACATACAAAGCTATAATCAAGAAGTCATTTGGAGAAATAAACAAAAAAAAAGAAAGTTAATTCATGGTTCTAATCATTTAGTTTTTCTTTGTTCTTTTGAAATTTGGAGACCAACACCAGATCCAAAAAATGTATTACAAATCATCAAAACTGCAGCTTTGCTGTCTTCAAGACTAAAGCAACATTTCAAATAAACCGTCAGCACATGCATAACTATTGTTGGTACATTTGGTTGACTTTACAACTTTACAGTTGGCCTTCTGAAGCCCACAGCGTTGTGTGTGTGGTGTGCGGCACCTTCAACAAATGTCATCAGTAACACGAGAACCTTCAGTGATTGAATCAGCCTTCAGTGAATGTGACACTTTCAGGGGATCAATAATATGTCTTCTTCATATCAAGGCAGTGACAGAACAGAATAAAAACACAACCACATCAGCGCTGAAATAGTATTGCACCCTGATCACGGTGACAGTATCGCCGGGGAAACCGCTGGGCCCTCAGTGGCCCTCAGTGACCCTCAGTGACCCTCAGTGGCCCTCAGTGACCCTCAGTGGCCCTCAGTGACCCTCAGTGGCCCTCAGTGCCTCAGTGGCCCTCAGTGACCCTCAGTGGCCCTCAGTGACCCTCAGTGACCCTCAGTGGCCCTCAGTGGCCCTCAGTGACCCTCAGTGACCCTCAGTGGCCCTCAGTGACCCTCAGTGGCCCTCAGTGCCTCAGTGGCCCTCAGTGCCTCAGTGGCCCTCGGTGGCCCTCAGTGCCTCAGTGGCCCTCAGTGACCCTCAGTGGCCCTCAGTGACCCTCAGTGGCCCTCAGTGCCTCAGTGGCCCTCGGTGGCCCTCGGTGGCCCTCAGTGCCTCAGTGACCCTCAGTGGCCCTCAGTGACCCTCAGTGGCCCTCAGTGGCCCTCAGTGGCCACTTATCCCTTCACAGTAACTGCAGCTTGACAATGAACATCAGCAGCAACAAAAACACTCACGGGGATCTAGTGGAATTGAAGCCATTCAGACCACTCCCATAATTACATTTGATTATCTCATTCATAATAACCGTAACATAATAGTAATGCACACTGTTGCGTAGCTACCCTCCATCCCTCTCTGCGTGCTATTGAAGCTTTCTGTCTTTTTATAAAACTAAAATTCTGCCTACCGACAACAAGGGGGCGGCGACTCTGCTGGTCAGGGAGAAAACAACTACTTCTCTCTTGATTTATTCAGTAAACATTTATAAATGCGGTTCACAACCCAAAAGTCTTACATGAAGTCAATGCATTTGGTGCATGTTGGTACATGTGAGCGCTGTCATCACGCCGCCCCGACCACAATAAAACCTTTATTTTCATTTAAATCAAGTATTTCTATCAGCATTCCAGCCCCCGTGTTGTAGGCAGACAATATTTGTCATGCGTCAACTCAAAGTGAGATGAATGGTGTAATATCTCCTTTGAGACCGTGTAATGCAGACATAGGATGTTACAGGAGGGACTTCAGGGTGAGACCTCTGAGGCGGTGGCGTTCCTCTAAGCTGGTAGCGACTTCCTGTTGACTCACGGCGGCGGACATTGCAAAGCTCTCTGCTGGAGAAGAACCCTTTTATCACTGAAAGTAGAACTCCGCCCCCTGCATGAGCTGCTGTTTAGCACAAACCGTAAAAGACGAGATGATCCGGACACCTCGTCTCCAGCTCTGTTGAGGCGGGCGGACATTTAGAATCACTTCTCTTTGTGTATTCATGTCGTTCTAAAAGGAAATGACAACAACAAAAAGGAATATGCTCCCAAAAAAGGCTATGGGCGGGCGTGGGCGTCTCCAGGGTGACGTGTCCCTTTTAGAATCTTCTCTACGTCAAAGGGATCGACCAATCAGCAGGCAGGACGCAAAGAACAAAGATCTCCTTAAACAATACAAGGTGGGCGTGACCCTGATCTGCAGACCCCCCCCTGCTCTGCTCCCCCTACTCCTCCTCCTCCTCCTCCTCGTCATCGTCCTCGTCGTGGCAGTGCGTGATCTCCTGTGGGGCCTGAGGGAAGAAGTGGGGCGGCTGGATTTCGCTGAGCGACCTGGTCAGCTGCTGCCGCTTGGACTCGACGTCCTGGAGGCGGCGGTCGCGCGTGGCCAGCGGGCACTCGGCGTGGACGGCGCCGACGCGGGCGTGCTCCACTGTCGACTCGTGGGGCATCTGGAGGGGGGAGGAAGGGCCGTGCGTGAAGACGGCGCGTGAGGAGCAGGGAGCGCGCATGAGGCGCAGGAGCTCACCAGCACGTGCGCGGCCCTGAACAGGTAGCTGAAGGGGTAGTGGAGGAGGTTGATGAAGGAGGCGGCGTACAGGTCGGCGTAGCGCATCACCTGGGAGGCAAACAGCGTCTGTCGGGACCCGCTGCGGAACAGGCTCCCCGTCATGCCGTAGCACATGTCCATGTCATGCGTCACCTTCTGGAAAAGACAAAGAGACTCGCTGTGAGAGACGAGTAACGTTGTCGCGTCACATCCAGCCTGGCGTGTCTGACTGGCTGTGGGGCGGACACGCGTGTCAGAGTCCCACCTTGATGCGTCCCTGCAGCGAGCTGATGTCGGGCCTCTCGTTGCTGCTGCTGTCCAGGTGCCTGAGGACGAAGCCCACGACAGAGACAGACGGAGCGGCGTTACCCTCCCACACCCGAGGACACACGGCTGCATGAAGGAGATGTGGGGGGCGCGACGCCGCCGCAGCATCCGATGGCTCACGCGTTGTGTAGCTAGTGTGTGATTGGTCACATCCAATGCTGTGTGTTCACGTTGAGTTGAGTCATCGGTGAACGGTGATGCTGCAGACGCTTCATCGGCTGTCTTTGCCTGGCTGGTACCATGGCATCCTTTATTATAGGACCTGGTGCCTTTATTCTAGGGTATAGTTCTTATACGTGTCATATATGTGACATCGGATTACATACAAAGCCTTTCAGAGTCTGTTTGTATTGGCCCATTCATCAATGACCCGCCCCCTTTCCTAATACAGCTTAATGAGAAGCGAACATGTTACATACATGTTCTGGAATCAACTCGAGTAAGAAGGGCAGTAATACATAAATCCTCCTCCATGCGCTTGCGTCTGCGTTACTCTGGTCTGGAAACATGGATGCAGTTCAGTCATCGCACATCGGGTAAACCAAACGTCCCCCAAACACATCCGCTTATTGGAGCAAGTTACTTGCAAAAAAACAACCAGACGACCAAAGAAGGAGGGAACTCACTTGTAGAGCTCTGCAAGCGAGCATTCCAGAGACTGAAGCTCCTCAAACATGGCTGAAAAACAATTTGCACGTTCAGTAAATTTAGAAACGCTCCGGTCTTTAACAGGCAGAGCGCGGCAGCGGGTGAAAGCGTCTGCAGCCTCACCGCTCTGGTCGGTCCACACGTGCAGCTCCTGGGCCAGCTCGGGGACCACCAGGAACGTCCTCCAGCCTCGCCGCTTCTTGGATTTGAGGATGTCGCCGAAGATGTGGTCTCCAATGTAGATGATGTCCTTTCCTTTAGCGCCCAGCAGGTCGCACACCATGTCTGAGGAGCCTGCCACAGAGAGAAAGAAGCCTGTTATTAAACAGTAATGTAACAGTCCGAGGGCTGCATGACAACACCTCACATTATGAAGTAGAGCCTCTCGAACCTCATCGCTTTAGTGACTCACTCAGACGGCCGTATTATAATAATCCTTTCTGTCTTTCACGGTGTCACCTGACACCACGTCATCATTTTGACCCTTTACATGCAGAGACGTTCTGTTTCTCATCTGATGAAGCGCACGGAGTTCTGGTGTTGCGTGGAGTCGGTTCCTGACTTACCTCCAGAGTAAACGATGCCGTGCTGCAGGGGTCCCGTGTACGTGCCGATCTTCAGCCGGCCCGTGAGCTGCAACAAACCCTCGCGTCAACCACGGAGTCACACAGTGGAAAGGACCTACAGGTCCACACTCACAGTGTCCACCTGCCGCAGCACCGTTCCCTCTCCAAAGAACACGGGCTTGCGAGCGTCCACCAAGATCAGGTCAAAGTAGGACTTCCAGGGCCGATGGGGGGTCCCCGGCTATAACACACACACACACACACACACACACGTTGTCCAATGGTGTCCTCATCTCATTGATGATAAACGAGAGACGCTGTGGCGGCGTTGGCGGTACCTTCGGGCCGTGAGGGAAGTCCACCAGGTAGGTCATGATTTTCTGAAAGTTTTATCAGATGGTTTTTGTTACCTGAAGCCACATATCTGATGTATATTATTACCACCATCACTATTATTTGATGACAGCAGAGACGTCTCCGTGTCCCACCTCTGTGTATCCGTAGTCACTGTTGGTGGCCAGAAACACTTTGGCTACTTCGTTCATGCGGCTGAGGAGGAGAGGAAGCTTTGGCTTGGTGGAGAAAACACAAAGACACGTCAACAACGAGGTTCACCACCACAGACGAGCGCTGTCCCCGTTGTCCCCCGACTGCAAAGACCACGCGGACACTCACGTCCTTCACCACGTACTTCTCCAGGTTTTCCACTGTCTTCTCTTTCAAGGAGCCCTGTGAAGACGAATCACAGCTGGACTCGATTTGACGGCAGCTGCAAACATCTGTCATGCAGAAAAGTCCCCGGTTGTACCTTGAAATGAACCCAGTCCACGGCGTCTCTGACGTCCTGGAACATGCTCCGATAGGACATGAACAGGTCCCCGTCTTTGAAGCCGGTCGCACAGCTGCAGAAACAGAGGCACCATTAACCACATCCTGCACGAGACGTCCTCAACGATCAGAGCTCTGCTTAACTCATCTGAGCGTCCCCCCCCCACTGAGCGTCCCCTGCACTGACTGTCCCCCCGCGCTGAGCGTCCCCCCGCACTAAGCGTCCCCCCCCACTGGGACGTGACTACCTGACCACATGTGGGCTGGCTGGCGGTGGGTTTGGGTGTCAGTGAGACGTGAACAAGGTGTTGACTCCATCACCTCCATCTCACACAGCAGTGAAAAGAGGGAGACAGCAGGGAGCCGCTGTGTGAGACAACGTCCACCAAGTGTGACGCTCACACTCAAAACGTGATGGAATCATAGAGAATTCATGTGTCATCCACCGTTTTAAAGACGCTTCTGATGTCCAATCTGTTATGAACTAAGACATCAGAGACAGACAGACAGACAGAGACAGACAGGCAAAGACAGAGACAGACAGACAGAGACAGAGACAGACAGGCAGAGACAGGCAGACAGAGACAGACAGACAGGCAGAGACAGGCAGACAAAGACAGGCAGAGACAGAGACAGACAGGCATGAGACAGAGACAGACAGGCAAAGACAGAGACAGACAGGCAGAGACAGACAGACAGACAGACAGACAGACAAAGACAGGCAGAGACAGACAGGCAGAGACAGAGACAGACAGGCATCATTCTGCTTGCGGTACCTGGTGTATCTGGAGCAGTTACTGAAGAAGTCGACCAGGCAAGCGAACAGGTAAGTTTCTGAAGAAATAAGAGCAGAATCCGAGAGAGAACAAGTTGTGTTTGACATGACGACGGGTTTTATTCTCATGTGACAATTTAACCCCATTTAGAGCCAGTGAACTTTAGTATTTCACTCGTTCCATTCTTTAATATGGTTGTTGGAGTCATTTCCTCCACTTCCTTTCACCCTGATTAAAGACAGCAGGTCCAGCAGAAGCTTTTCTATATGTATATCTAGTATTAAAATATGATATAAAAAATATGTTTTCAATGAATGGTGCAATTGAAAGTACATTTATCCACATTTTTGCCATTTGATAATCAACTACTGCTTTGTACTGTGGAGCCTTGCAGATGTTCATGCGTCCATCGGCGCCGTGACCACCAATAGCAGCACCAAGCAGACGGCTTGACACCAAGTGTCCGTTTACATCCCTGCTCTTAATTCGTCCATAACTCCTACGGGTGTTTCCTACCGGGCAGGTTGAAGAGCGTGTTGAGGATGTAGAAGCGCTCGGTGTCTCCACGCTGAATGAACTTGTTGGGGTACGTCTCTCGGGTGTCGGGTCTGTGCAGAGTGAGCAGGTTCATACTAGATGACAAAGTGTTATTTTCTGCCTCTGCAGTGGTCACACAGGTCCGACTGTACCGCTGCTACGCCACAGAGCGACGGTGAAACATCTTGATGTGACCAAATACCTGTAGAGCTCTGCTGCAGCGTGTTCATGGCTACTCAGCTGAAGTCGAAACGAAGCGAACAAGGAAACAGTTGGAAACCCGTTGGTCGGCTTCGCTGAGCCATTTGCGATGGAACTCACCCCTTCAGGAAGTTGAATCCGTGCACACACACCAGGATGTTGCCGTAAGCGTCCACTTTGAGCAGGTTGCCGTACGTTGAGTCAAACACCAGACCCCTGAGAAGGACGGACAGTGTCAGAGACAGAGAGGACAACGCGTCCGTTTGAAGGGACAGGGTGGACACGTGCACCGGCCTGGTGGGGAAGGACGGGTCGTAGACGAAGTTGAGCAGCTCCTTCGGGTAACCGATGGACACCAGGCGCTCCACCGTCAGGTCGAAGCCCATCGACTCGTACTCGGGGGACTTGTACACTAGAGGGACGACGAGGCCGCACGCCGGGTTAGTTCGTCGGCACAGCGCCGCCATGTCTTTCGCCAACAACATATTCATCATTCAAAGCCGTCCCCAGAGGTCGACAGGTCTGTCTTATTACAGACACGTAGGTAACACCACCTGGTCCACGGGCTGCACACTCACCTGCCAGCGTGTAATCCATATCAAAGCCAAAACACTTGATCTTCTCCATGGCCAAGCTTCGGTTGACAAACACTCTGCGAGGACAGAACACGGTTTAAATCCCCGATCACACACACAGGGAACACCCTCACCTGCACAGTGATTGCCTCCCATTTTTATGACAACAACCTTTTAAATAAACATACACACTCAGGTGCCACTTGATCAGGTGCAGCTAGGAGGCCAGTTTCAGTTTGCTTTGGAAGTCTTCAGAGGCGTCTGCAGTGTGTGCAGCAGGGAACTGGCAGCATTACTTCCCCCAGTTACGCAACAGCAGCGCTGTGGACGACGGACGGTGTCTGGCATGCGTCACATATGAGGACATTTTAAATGACTCCCAGTCAGCTGCCGGTCGGACTCGAGGGCCGCGTGGTAGATTTCACTCTCGCCGCCACATTAGTTCATCTAAGGAGACGATCGAAGCCACAAGTCTCCTGGTGAACCGCAGCACGTGGGAGGAACAAAAGGACCAAGGATGAAACGGTTTCAAAAAAGTGAGCTGGTTTGAGTCCTCGTGCTGGCTCCACACTGCCCGTGGCGGCCAGGACGTCCCCGAGGTTCCAAACGCCGGCGGACGCATTCCAACGCGCTCCTTTTGGCAGCATGCAGCTTGGAGGGTGGAGGACGACCCCTACGCCCTCTACCAACGTGCTAGAACAGCAACGTTTGTGCGACGGGTTCTCAGCAGCAACTCACAGTAAAACTCACCGGGTGGAACAATTCAGACCATAGAACGCGTGATCTGTCCCTCTGCACACTGTCCGTTCCATCCCGATGACGTGAGAGAGGATTTACAGTGAGAAAGGAGCACTGAAGGAAAGCTGGAGGAGTGAAGGACAATGACTGCTGCTCCACAGGGAGCCACACATAAAGGTAAGCATGGAGGGACAACCACGGGAGGACCAGTTCACATCATGCACACGACAAAAGAGTCATTTAGTCCGCGGGTCGCGTTTAACAACAAAAAGATGGCGTACCTCAGTGCAGGATGGTTTTGAGCCAGATCCCGAAAGCTTTGTAACAGAGAATACACGCAGCGTTACCACTGATCTCATGCTACACGGCTCTGTGTTACCGTGTTGGACAGGAATAACACGGGGCCCTTCTGCTATTCATCCATGATGACCATCACATCGCAGTAATTCAGGTCATTTACACCGACCGACTAAGCTGAGCAAAGATAAATGGATTTCCAGCAGTTTAGATCTGCCAGTAGCTCCCCTCGATTTGTCTGAACTTCTAACTGGATGACGTCAAACGTTCCGTCGGACGAAGCTCCTCCACTGAAGTGATGATTCATTTACAATAAAGATCTGCCGTCTCATGTCACATGACGTGTGGCCGCCCCGTATTCCACACTGTGTGCGTCCATTGTGATTGAAACCAAATGCATAGATCTGTGAAGAAAGTTATGCTTTTGTTAGCTGGCACCTCGCCCCAGGAAGCAGCGAGCGGTGCAGGTGACACAGCTCACTCTGTGAGCCTAACTCAAGGTCAAGAGGTCATTGTCACGCGCTGTTTTCTGGACTGTGACCGACTGACGATGCAGCCGTAATCCTCCCCAGTTTCAATCGGCTTGCGATGTTGCACATTTATTTTCATAATAAACAAACTGACCAAAATGACTTTCGTTTCGTTTCTACTTAGTAGGGCGAGAACATCTACAACTTATGCAGAGATCCACATCTAATGTTCTCCCTATTTGTGTTTCTAACGCGTACCTGTGGGAAGCTTCGCGGCGGTACTTCTTCATGACCACGCCGTCCATGTTGGCTGGCATGTCGGCATAATTCTGCAGACGGTCGCTCCACGAAGTTGTCATCTTGAACCGTAACAATTCTAGAAAGAAACAGAGCCAGATGTTAAACCAAGAACCACACACACACACACAGTCATTCCGCTACCGGGAACGATTATGTCTGTAGGAAGTATTATGTTATATAGAGGAACCAACTTTATATTTCATCTAACCAGTCTACTCATAATATACTGACCAAAACAAACGGGGGGAAGTAAGGAGTGTAGAAACACTAAACAATATACTATTAAATTAATTTAACACCAATAAATCAAATGTAAACATGACACAACTCGATTTATGTCAGTTATTTACATGGATTTTTACGCTTTATACCATAATAATGTTATACAATCCTTTAACATCTGCAGGACCAACACACTCCTCAAGTGACTGCGGTCAACTCGCCGCTTGAATTTTAGTGCACGTATATAATGACATTTACGGTACTAAACAGGTAACCCGACGAAAGGCTGTTTAAATAGCAAATTGATGGAAGTATGCAGGACCTCTCTGACTATTGGTGTACAACAAAAAATATTTAAAATGTGTAATGGAAGATAAACAGATGCCCTGAATACATGCATCAATCATAGTTTGGACTTATTGAAGTATTTAGTACTTATTTGAAGTATTTTTATTGCCATTCCAACGTTCGAAAATATCTTTTTGAAGTTTGAAGGAAAAAAATCTCCAAATCCGTACAGTAAAATGATTTCATATTCTGCATGCTAGTAGTCAGAGAGGTCCTTAACACACATAATTCCGTCATTGTCCAGAATATTTGATCAAACAGCTTTCATTTACTGGTTCAATACCGTAAGTATCAGCATAGACGTGCACTAACATTCAAGCGTCGGCTGACCGCAGTATCAAGCACAGATGTGCAAACAGAGCTTACAGCTGTGATGCGCGTCGCGGCAGCGGGCGGCGCGTGTCACGTGGGGCCAGCGGAGCCTCGCGCGCTAATGTTAGCGCCGTTTTCCGGCTGCTAGCTTACAGCCGCCGAGCTAACGCTCCTTCCGCCGCTCCGTGCCGCGCTTGGAACGCGGCGTACAAGACAAGCGCGCCCGGTGTTCGACTAAAGCCGCTGTTTACTTGTTGACGCCAGCGGGACAACAACACTACTCACGGGGTCGCGCGCTCCCGCTTCTTCTTCTGCTGCTGCTGCTGCTGCTGCTTCCTCCGGCTCTGCGGGAGCAGTGTCGCCACCAGCCGGAGCGGCGCAGAGTCCCTGAGGTCCGCGTGGTCCGCGTGGTTCCCCCGCTGGTTCCTCCCGTTTGCACGAACGTCCGTCAGTAACACGCAGTGATGCATTAAGAAAAGGAGCCTTAGCAGTGTGCTTCCCTCTGATTCATCTCTTTGGATTTTCGTTTGTGTGTTGAATTATTGTTTGTGGTTGTGGTGTTGGACAGTGTCCCCCTGCTGCTGCGTGATGAACACTGACCACCGAGCAAGCACCTGCAAGATGTTTACAACGGGCCTCTGCTAAATCTGCACACAGTCTGCACGTGACCGCGTCTTGAATTCATTCATCAATGAAACCTTTTCTGCCTGAATATACTTTATTGAATATGGAAAGTGTATCAGGGGTTGAGGTGGTGGAGGAGCCTGAAGTAGCATAAAACCTTGTATTATGTATACCTCTATTAGTAGACTGTAATAGACGTATTAACTTTCCCCAATTCCCATCTGAATACCTGTATCCCCCCACAACACGAATGTTAATTAATTAACCTTTCTGGGACGCTGATCCAAATACAATACAGACAGGTAAAGCAGATACTTGTTCTTTGTGTAGTCTCAACACGTCCCGCTTAACGTAAAAAAAAAAACCTCAAAATGAAGCAGCTTAAATTCATTTCAAACCCCAATATCTATTTTGCATAAAGAAACAGCCAATAATTCAGCACACATTGAATATCTGGCTTAACAGGGGAGAGAGAAACAGTTTATTATTCTTATATGAGGAGGAATTTAACTACACATGCTTTTGTGTGTCTTTTTATTTCTTGGTTTGTCAATGATGTTGGAATCTTCATAGCAAAAGTCATCCTGTTTTAAGATGAAGTCGAAGCAGCTCTGCTGCTCCACCTGGATGAGCTGAGGAGGAGCAGCGGCTCCGGGGGCCGGAGGTGGAGCACCACCTTCCTCTGGCTCCATGAAACGCTTGTGAAAGGCCTCCGCTGTCTGTCTGGGAAGCACGGACACAAGGTTTTAATCTGCCGGAGGAGGAGAGGTGAGGAGCCGCTGTCCCTGGACCTGCATCCCCTGATAAGACGCTGCTGTGGGAGGGAAACATCATTTACACTCAAGGTCTAATGACGGGGGGCTGGACGCGGACCAACGCTGCAGCTCCGGAGAGACCGGCTGGCCACAAGGACGAAGACGCACAGCGACGCACACAATCCTCCCCGCCGATCAAACAAGACAGCAAGACACGCGATGAGCGAGGACTTTCACAGTGACGAAGCCCATCGGCAATAACTGAACCTCAGCGCTCCGGCTCTCAAGGACGAGTCCAGAACTATTTAAAGCACGAGAAGAGCAGCTGGTGCTTACGTACATCTGATTGTTAATGAAAGATGATCGGACGTCCGGCTGGGATCGTTCTCTCAGCTGCCGCCTCCCAAGTCCAGAAGACTTTTCAACCACATATTAGAAAAAGTCTGTAATATTTCTCCTAAATTGCCTTCGTCTTGCTCCAGACACGTCTCCAAGTGACCCCGTGACCCGCTGCTGGCGGACCATCGCCCCCCCCGTTGGATCTGACCGCGCTGCTTGTGTTTCACGTCACGTTGTGGATGTTGACGCCGGGCAGATTAGCCGAGGCGTCAGCTGATGGGGATCCGGTAAACAAACAAGCGACGGACGCCGGCTCGTCGTCATCATCATCGGGACCGACGCGCGCGGTGGCGTGCAGCACGTGCAGCGCTGAGAGACCCGTCCTCGGGGACGCAGCAGCTGTTGGGCCTTGGGGGCCGCTGATAGCGGCGTCTCGTTGCTCCTTATCGCGGGTCGGAGCCGAGGATGCAGCCAAAGAAGCGCTCGTTTGTGGGGGAACATTCTCTGATGTGGGTTTAAATGTTCTGCTCGTTGGCACGCTGCCTTCATGCCTTCGCAGCTGTGAGACACGCGTGTGGACCGAAGACACGTTGGGGGTCAATAGATCAGCACCGTGAAACGTCCCCGCTCCATTACTCATGACGATGTTTTGGAATACAAACTTTCTTTATCACGCCGGAGATTAGAATATGGTCCACAGCCACACGTCGTTGGGATAAATGAGGAACGACACCGCCGAGGGAGAGGGGGGAGGAACTGGGGGGGTTTGGTGATACCGACGTGGAAGTGAGGAGAAACAGGGACTACGGCCGCTAAGCAGCATTCAGCCTCTTCGCACTAACAAGGTTCCTTTAAACTTCCACCCAGCCTGCATGACACGGCGCGTTGGTGATACTCTGAAATGTGTCTGATGAAGACGCGTTGTGGGAGCTGAGTAGCCTGAATGCGTTTGTCCTGCAGCGACAGCGTTCGATAAATACGAGCCGTATCCTAAATGTCAGAAGAGGAAACGCTTCCTTTGAGACGGGTTTATTTGCAATGGACAGGTGTTTGTCCTGAGACGACCCCCTGCAGCGCACATCCGCTCCATCCTTGGACACAAGGACGTCTTGCCTCATAAAACCTCCCCCAGTAAATCGTTTGAGCCTAATCAAAAGAGTGAGGACATCTCCGTCCTCTCCGACACGCGATGGAAGACACACAGAAGCCTCAGAAAGCAGCAGATAACGAAGCAGGGCGCCAGGAGTCTGTGAGCCACAATCACCTCAGAACAAATAAAGACCCCGCCTGCAAACAGCAGGTCACGTGGTGCGTTTGGGACGGGAAAGGTCGGTTCTCCTTGCAGGGTAAAGACGTCATGCAGAGAACCAAACGGAGGAGCAGCTCCGGATCTTCTGCTCCACACATGGAACAAACTCACGAGACGCTCAGCTGCTCCAAATTAAGACTGAAGACTTTTGTTTGCTGCCGTCCAACTAAACCGCATCCAAGTGGAGGCTTTTTACGGTTGATTTGATTCAACTTTTATTCTGTTTTATGCTTGTTTATAGTTTGAATCGATGCTCTTAATGGTCTTTATGTCTCTTTGTGCCTCACCTCTAGTAAAGGCCATCAGTCGACCCCTTTACGGTTATACATCTTTAGCAGCAATGTCCTTTTTCTAGTTCTACGATGCAAGATGACACAGAAAACAAATTAAATCTATAATACAACTCAATTGAAATGAAAAGATTTCCTTCAACCCAGGAAAGGTTTGGAAACGTATTGCAGAGATATTCCACATACTTTTATGCACATTGTGAAATACAGAATCACAAAAGCTCACAGCAACACGCTACACTTGAAATGTGAGTGTTTTTATTGTCATAAAACCAGCAAATCAACCTCCAGCTCACATGACTGATCATCTGCTTGGGTCAACGTCCCCTCAGTCTTCTCCAATATTCGGGTCCACGTAGCATCAGAACTTTAGACCACTTCGACAAATTGAAAATCCCAGAATGAAAACTCTTGTTTTCTACGGTCGCACGCGATTACGTTTGGTTTCCTCCTAAAAACTCCCACCAATGATCAACGATGTGGTCCAAGTTAAAGCACTCCAAAACATTTCAACGCGCCTCATTCAATCGTTTTACTCGAAGACATTTCAAGCCGTCACCTAATCTGTACATCAGTCGCACGACTACTGAACTGAATGGCAGCGGTGTTTTGCTGAGGGGGCTGGAGGCTGGGGGTCCGCTGCACTGACCCCGTTGGATTATAAATCAGAGAGCTTCACTCTGGCGCTGTGAACCCTGTCCATAGCCCCCCAGCAGTGCTTCACACGTAGCAGCGCGTGACCCAGCAGCTTCCGGAGGTCTGACTTTAAACCCTCCCGCTGACGCGGTGGGGGCCCGGGTCCTCCGGCTGCTCCGTCACTTCAGCAGGTGCCTCAGCTGGTCCTGCAGGTTTTTGGAGTGCTCCACACTGGAGGATGCAGAGGAGTCAGTGCACGTCATCGGTGCGTGTTATGGCTTTCTACTGAGACAGTGATGTCAGCGGTTTCTCCCGGAGAATAAACAATGGGGTGTTTAGACTTACTTCTTCTGGATGGCCTCCTGCCTTGGGGACACACACGCGGACAGAGACACACGGACGCTCTTAGCGTTCACTTGCAATTTAAGAACATTTTGAATAGTTTGTGATCACAAACAGCTGCTTGATACTCACTGGTATTGTAAATGTGTGGTGATAATGGACATTTTTCTCAGACTCTGAAAAACAGATGACAACGGTGTTGAATTGTGCCACTTTGGAGCCGCTACAGTCCTTTGGTTCATCCAAGATAGAGGGAATCACTCGGAGAGGTTTTCATTTCACTCTTTACTTTGTGGTACCGAACAGCGTTTCTACCACTTTGTCCTCATGGCTACATCTGGATACTTACGTCCTCCGAGTGCAGGATGGCGTCCTCCTGGATGACCATATTTCGTGCCGCTTGACCAAGAAGCTGGAAGAGACCATAGTGATCATTGGGCATTGGCTTGTTTTCAACAATAAAAAGCAAAACTTTTATTTTAATTTCCACAAAATCGTTAACTCAATTAATGGACAAATTGTTAGTTTAACTTTAAATCTATAAAGCAGTACTTTCGGCTCATTTGATGAAATTGCACTTTGTTCTTCTGGGTTTCATCCTCATGGTTGAAACGCACTTATTGAAAGTCGCTTTACATGTAATGTAATGTTGGGAAGATGGTGTCGGTCTGTATGAATATTGTACCAATGGTCCAGATATGTTCAGAATACATTTCAGCTGTAGACACAAGTACATGATAGAATAGTGCTAGCCTGCATTAACAGTATTAATTGAACAACAATGTCTTAATGAAATCCCTCACGATGGAATCAAAGGCGACTATGTTGAGCAGTGATGCAATCGTGCTCTTATTTTGAAGTCCAAACGTCGTTTCCGTTTCCTCTCTGTGTATTGTTAGCCCAATGGAGCTAGCGAGAAGCGATCAACACATTTGTCGTGATTAAACCACTCGTATCTATTTACCTCCTGGCTGCGAGATCCCTTCAGCACTTGGCGTGTCAGCGCGATGACGTCCCCGCCACAGGAGCCCACTTTGTCGGATAGCAGCCCTTTGACAGACTGGCCAAACCGCGGCTGCGAGTCCGCTGACGCCATGTTCCGGTTAGTGACGGATGGTGCGCGGCTAGGGTCAAAAACAAGAGCGGCGCTTCGCCCTTTATTGTGTCCAACGTAATTCGTTTGGTGGATGGACTTTGCTTTGTATTTCATTATCAGATGCGTTTGGTAAACATTGTGAGTCGTCAGTTTGACTCCTTCTAGTCACTAAAGTAGAAATAGAACAAATGCGGTCAACGTTTACTTGAAGCATCCTTCAAATTCACAGGTGTAATCCGTAAAATGGCATAAACTTTCATAAGTGAAGCACTCAGAAGTGTCTTTTTATGCTGTTGCATAATTGTTTATCCTATTGTATTTTATTTCTTTATTAATAGTTGCATACCAGTGCATCATATTTTATGCACAGAAGTTTTGTGTGTGGCACATTTATCTGCAAAATGATCAAGAGCAGTGAGATTCGCAGTGGAGTGGAAAGATGAGGGGGCAGTAAACGTAAAACTAAAGTACAAATTCTTCCAAACTACTTCAATCCACTAATGCACTCCAACAGATGTAACTTCCACATTCACGTTCATTTGATGTGCCGTCATGGTGAGGATTTATGAATCATCTTATCTTGTTTAAATTGGCCCAGCCTTAAACACGGCGTGTCAAGGATTTGGCATTGAAGGAGCTGCATAAATGTGCGGCCCCGCAGCCGCTCAGGGCCTTCCTGCAGAGCTCCTCTCTGCTCGGCCTCCTCTGGATCAGACCCTGCTCCCGGGTCCCGTTGCGGTGGACATGACTTGGTTCCTGTGTCTGTGTGTGCTGTTTGCCGTGGCGCTGGCTCTGTTGCTGCTGCAGTTGAATCTCGGGGTATTGGCGCATGGCCCCCGGGAGCCCCCCCGCCTCCCAGCCCTCCCGCTCATCGGCAGCCTGCTGAGTTTGCGGAGCCCGCACGCTCCTCATGTGCTCTTCAAAGACCTGCAGGGGAAATACGGGCCGACGTACTCGCTGATGATGGGCTCCCACCGCGTCATCGTAGTCAACCAGCACGTGCACGCCAAGCAAGTCCTGCTGAGGAAGGGGAAGATATTTGCAGGAAGACCAAGAACGGTGGGTACACTTCTTCTTCTTCTTCCCCCTGTTCTCCTCAATCTGGGTCTTCTTCTCTTTTTTTCTACTCCTTCTTTGTCTTCTTCTTCCACTTCTTCTCCCTTTTCATCTCTATTCATGTGTCTCTTGTCCACGTGTGATGAAGGTTACCACAGACGTTCTGACCAGAGATGGGAAAGACATCGCGTTTGGAGACTACAGTGCCACATGGAAGTTCCACAGGAAGATCGTCCATGGAGCTCTGTGCATGTTTGGAGAGGGCTCCTCGTCCATTGAGAAGATCAGTGAGTACAGTTTCCTCCATTCTGATCTGATGTAAGTAGATTCTATACGCTTCCCTCCACTGGTACTTCACCACGTAGGTGCTTTATTGGTCTGGGTTTCTCATCTCAATGAATTGACTGATTGAAAAAGGGGAACATAACTGGAACATCTAATCCAATGATCAAACAAAAAAATGCTCATGCACAAAAATTCAGAAACAAACTCTTCATTTCTTTATCCATTGATCTACTAATTATTTTCTCACTAAATAAAAAGTGATATTGGTTCATACGACGTCCAAGCTGATTCAAATAGCATAGTTTGTGCTCATAACAATGAACAACAAACCAATAAAAAGTCTCCATTCCTCTAGTGTTGTGATTGATCCTAAAACATCAGATCTACATGTTGTTTTGCTTAAAGGGGGATTGTAATTTGTAACATCCGTGCACGAGGAACGTTCAATCAACGCTTGTGAACACGAGCTTCTCTCTATAAATGCATAAAAGTAAGCTAAGCTACGCCAGAAACCAGAGAATTAAGAAGAACTATAAAGTATAAAGCGTGGATCTGCTTCTCGATACATTGGAAATATAAAAGGAAGGAAAAGACCCATCTTCCTGATGTGTGTTAACATGTCACACACACACAGACACACAATGTGTATCGATGCTCAGCATCCAGGGAATAGACGTGGTCGTGCCGGTGAGCATCTGTTTCCACTGCCCCGCTCAGTCCACGTCCAGGCCCAGTCTCTGTGCGGCGTCCTGTCTGAGGCGGCGGCAGCCGGACAGGCCCTGGATCTGTCTCCCGAGCTGACCCGGGCCGTCACCAACGTCATCTGCTCGCTCTGCTTCCACTCGTCGTACCGCCGGGGGGACCCGGAGTTCGAGGCCATGCTGCTTTACAGCCAGGGCATCGTGGACACGGTGGCGAAGGACAGCTTGGTGGACATCTTCCCCTGGTTGCAGGTAGGCGACAAAACAAGCCCTGGAAGGTTTAGCATCACTCTGCAGCGTGAATGAGTCCCATAGTGTTTAATAATGTCATTAATAATGCAGTAGTGTCAACGTTTGCTGTGTAACAGTAAAAGCGCTAGTTAGCCGCTGTCTGAAGGACCCGATGGGTCATAAGAAACAGTTTTCTCCCGTTGTTGTTGACTAGTGGCTTCATGGCTGTGTGTGTATATATATATATATATATATATATATATATATATAACCCATAGCATTGTATTGTATTCCTCTTGCACTATGTCGTCTTATCTGTCTTGTTGTCCATCGTCTTACTGTCTGCTGTTATGCACCAATCAGATTCCTTGTATGTCGGACATATTTTGATAATAAATGATTGCTGATATAAATGTCTACATGCCGTGTTCCTCTGTGTCACAGATCTTTCCTAACGCGGACCTGCAGCTCCTGAAGCAGTGTGTTGCAATCCGAGACAAACTTCTACAGAAGAAATATGATGAACACAAGGTACTGCCGGCCTCTTGCTTTTAATGTTCCCACAGCGGTGACAAACACTGCAAAGATTAAGATGTGAAGGAGCTTTGCTCCAATAGAAAAATACCTTCAATGGCATCGACAAGCTCCACTTGTCCTCTGTCCTCGCATGTTGGACTGAGGACGACTGGATGCTACAGTGTGAAGGGGTGTTATGGCAGGACGGGCTAGCTGGTTAGCACGCTCATTTCCCCCCCCAGGCAGACTACAGTGACCACGTGCAGAGGGACCTGCTGGACGCTCTGCTGAGAGCCAAGCGCAGCGCCGAGAACAACAACACGGCAGAGATCACGCCGGGGTCGGTGGGCCTGAGCGACGACCACCTCCTCATGACCGTGGGGGACATCTTCGGCGCCGGAGTGGAGACCACCACCACCGTGCTCAAGTGGGCCATCGCCTACCTCATCCATCACCCGCAGGTACGCCTGGAGCCGCATCCCTGTGTGTGTGTGTGTGTGTGTGTGTGTGTGTGTGTGTGTGTGTGTGCACCAGGGCTTTGTGAGCGGGTGGGGACGCTCTTGTGTTATCCTGGATTTTTGAACGGACTTCTGGTCACAGGAACAACAACAGCAACCAGGTGCTGCCCTGATGTTCAGTCACGCTGTTCTGGCTCATGATAATGAGAAGGAGACATTTCCATCATCTCAATGTGCATTGTTGCTTCTCTCTGTTCGTATGTGCATTTAGGTACAGAGGCGTATCCAGGAGGAGCTGGACAGCAAGGTCGGGGGGGACAGGTGTCCCCAGCTCAGCGACAGAGGCAGTCTGCCCTACCTGGAGGCAACCATCAGGGAGGTGTTACGGATCCGCCCCGTGGCCCCTTTGCTCATCCCCCATGTGGCCCTCAGTGACACTAGGTACACTCACACACGTGACATATGACGGCGATGTTTGTTACACGCAGAGCCACACGAAGCATCCTGTGCGTGTGCTCCTCTGTAGCCTCGGGGACTTTGCAGTGAAGAAAGGAACGCGAGTCATCATCAACCTGTGGTCCCTCCACCACGATGAGAAGGAATGGAAAAACCCAGAGCTCTTTGACCCTGGTGAGACCAGCTGCCTTTTTAGCCAATGAAATCCTTTTTATGAATATGGATTCATGATGATGCAATGGACCAAATACAAGTGATCAGGGTCTATCCGTCCCACACACCTTTTAGCTCTTCCTGGGACGAGGCTCTTCTGGGTCTACCCTGGGGCCTCTTACCAGTTTGCCATGGTCCTCCAAGCAGCACATCCAGCATTTAGCAGTCCCATGACCGTCGTCGGTTCTGGTTTTGCTTGCGTGTCTTGATTGTTATTCGGTGCTGTTCCCGTGCAGGTCGGTTCTTGGACAGTGACGGCACAGGTCTGGTCATCCCGTCGTCCAGCTACCTGCCGTTTGGGGCCGGGGTAAGGGTGTGTCTGGGCGAGGCCTTGGCCAAGATGGAGCTCTTCCTCTTCTTGTCGTGGATCCTACAGCGCTTCACCCTCTCCGTCCCACCGGACCAGTCCCTGCCCAGTCTGGAGGGAAAGTTTGGAGTGGTCCTCCAGCCCGCCAGGTACGAGGTGAACGCCGTGCCCAGAACGGGCTGGGAGAGGAACAGGGGCCAGCCGTGTTGAGGCTCTCAAGCGCCTCTCATTGGCGATCCGAGGGTCTGCATGCAGATGGTCAAGCTTGAAGCAACGAACTGGACATCAAATCTCTTTGTCTGCGTGACATTTATCATTATATTTTCTCAATGTAACGCAATCCCAACGGACACTTTGGTACATTATTTATAAATACTTGCATCTCTAGTGACTTCTCTTGCTGCACAGAAGACCACGGCTTGAATTGGAATAGTCCTTTTTGTTTAGGAAGGTTCCCTAACTGAGTGAAATGAATTGTCGTGAATTCTCTTATGCGGTAGCTTCTTTACTTAGCTCCTTTAGCATAGGAACACTGCACCTAGCTTTACAAAAGGAAAAGAAAAATTCCGTTCCACAACTTCTTGCGGCGGCAATATTCAACCAGTGACCCACTGGGCCGTTCGTGAGAACCGTCATGAGCCCAGAAACGCAGATCGTGTAAGTAACTGTTAACTGTTGCAGCCTTGTTAATAAAGTAATGCTTTGAACCTGGTTGTTTATGTTGTCTGTATGAGTCGCACTGTAACAACACGTGAAGGCATCTCAGAGGCTTCTTGTGGTCCATCTTTGGCGAGATTGTAGTTTGGCCGCTGCACTCTGACGTCACTAACGTGCGTCTCCCGTCGCCTCAGAACCACGTAGCTGCTAGTTATCTTCAGTACAGCATGATGTCAATGTAATGAATGATGGTCCATTTAGAGTCAAATAGCTGCTTTACAGCCAGGCGCCTTGTGATTGACAGATCGCTGCCTCTACCAGATACAGCATCTGTACATCACTTCTTCAAGATTACAACAGCGGGATCACATTTGTCTTATTAACGGTCTGGAAAGAAAATCAAACCTTTTTCTTTGCCTTTGCTTGATCTGGTCTATTTGTACCGTTGTAACAAAAGACAGCTGAGCCGCAGGGCAAAGCTCTCGATCTACGGGTCAATCTTCATTCCTGCCGCCACCTATGGTCATGAAGGATGGTTCATCCCGGCTCCTAAGCGCCCTGCCCCACAAAGAGTGTCACAGGAGCTGCAACCTGCTTTCACCCCCTCGAATCCTAGGGAGGAGAATTGACAATGAAAAGCCTGTGTATTGTTCATATCACATCCTAGTTTCATGCTTCTAAATACATGAAATGAAACCAAATGAAGTCTTTGATTTGTGTTTATTCCACGGTGTAATAGTGTTTTACTTGGATGAAGGAGTTGCTCGGCCCTGCTTGGAGGTGTGAACACATGACTGGACGGAGTCACATTTCAGCCAGTGGCTCACATGTCTATGATCTTCTTTCTGACCAAACTGAGGTTAGGAGTTTGTTTAATTTGTTTGCTTCATCATATCTGTCCTATTATACTACACGTTTTAAAACCAGCACAATCTCTCTGTTTTTAGCGCTTTACAAAATTAAGAACGGAGAATCTGGCTGCATGAAGGGACAAAATCCAGTTCTGTGTTCAGCAGGTGCAAAGTCCCCAGGTCCTTCAGGAGGGTCCCGTTAAGCATCCGTCCAGGCTCCTCCTGACACCGCAACCAGTCCACTCAGCCTCTCTGTCCCACCGCAACCAGTCCACTCAGCCTCTCTGTCCCACCGCAACCAGTCCACTCAGCCTCTCTGTCCCACCGCAACCAGTCCACTCAGCCTCTCTGTCCCACCACAACCAGTCCACTCAGCCTCTCTGTCCCACCACAACCAGTCCACTCAGCCTCTCTGTCCCACCACAACCAGTCCACTCAGCCTCTCTGTCCCACCACAACCAGTCCGCACTGGCTACCAGTGGCTGCCATCCAGTTGAAAACTTTGGTACTGTGCTGTGAATGGATCGGGTCTAGTCGACATCCCGACCCGCACTCTCCGCTCTGCATGTGATAAACTGCTTGTTCCTCCTCACTGAGAGCAAAACACTCGACTAGATCTCCACTCTTTGCTGTCCTGCTCCTAAATGGTGGAAGGAGGTCTCTGAAGACATCAGGACCACAGAGAGCCTTCACATCTTCAGACACCTCTTCAGACTCTACCTCCACTAACACACTAACTAACTGTAGCACTTACATTTACACTTGTACTTATAACGACACTCATCTATAGCAAATTGTAAATTGGCTTATTTGAGGAAATTGCACGTTCTTGTTTCTTGTTCTCCTGAGTTTGTACCCTATGCTTGAATGCATTTATTGTAAGTCGCTTTGGATAAAAGCGTCAGCTAAATGACATGTGATGTGATGTCTTGGGATTTCTAAAAGATCTTACATCAATGTGTCATCAATACATTCAGCTGAGGGATTGGCTGAAACTACGACCGGCTCCTATGTACCTCCACAAACCCCACCCCCTAAGGGTGGGGCCGTGGTCACCTTCACTTGAGTTTTAGCAGTCAGCTTCCTTTGCTCCTTTGCTCTCCACTGGTGCACAACACACGTAACACACGCGTGGTGCAGGGGTTAGAGAAGGTGTGCTGGGAAGCACAAGGTTGGTGGTTCGAGTCCAGGCTGCCCCATGTTTCATGTCGAAGTGTCCCTGAGCAAGACACCTGACCCCTAAACCACAAAAATGTAAAAGCCATGGGTTTAAAGTGTAATGTAAGTCGCTTTGGATAAAAGCGTCTGCTAAATGACACGTAATGTCATGACTGAAAGGAGAAACAGGCATGCTGGAGGGCTTTTACAAATTTCGTATATTCACACCTGCCGGAGAACAAATCAATTTTGAAAACAAGGACACACTCCACCAGTTAAGTTAAATGTGTGGCAGGGCCGAGGAAGAGGCTAGCTAGCACCTCCCGGTAGGTTTTCCCAGAAATCAGGCAAAGCGGGAAGAACAGGGACAGGAAGGCTCTGTAACGGGGACTCTGTCTGCTGGAGAATCTGACTGTGTGACACACAATCTGGCAGTGTGTGTCTGGGAGGCAGAATTACGTATAGAGGCTTGATTAGGGATCAGAGGCAGGGAGTTTGGGCTTTGTTTTATGTGGTTTATTTAACAAATTCCATTGTTGTGTGCATATAAATGAACAATAACACAAAGCAAGAATAATGGAATTATTAAAGCTGCACCGGTCAGCCGGATGCGTGGTCAGAAAGAGAAAAAAAAGAGTGGTAGGTGTGGGATTCAAACATGGCTACATAACCGAAAATACCTCACCACTATGCTACTGGACCCACTGTTCAAAAAGTTACAAAAATATGTAAGATCATCTCCTTTCAGTCAAGCAAAGAGCAGAAGCTAATCACACAACAAGTATTAACTTCTGCAGTAACCCTTTCTGATGGTGTGGAGGTCTGGCAGCTATATTTTGCGAACTGGACACACTGAATGTGTCTCTGCAGGACAAAGTTACCAGCATTTAAACCTGTAGGACAACGCGGCTGGCTTCCTGAAGCAGAGCTGTGATCAAGTGACTGCACAGACCTCTGCTTTCATCAGGTGGATCATTTCTCTCCAGTGAGATTGTGGACTGAGGTCCAGTCAGTATAACTTATGGAAAGGTAACGTATCGTCAAACAGCGAATGTTAATAAACTTAAATACATAAATTCAGCAACCTAGGCTTTGTCGTTAGCAAACTAATGTTATTGTTATATTGTTGCATAATTCTGAATCTCATAGTTTCAGAAAATAATACTTTTCGAACGACGTTAGCATGGCTCGCTAACATTGTTTTATAACATCATAGGGTTAACACGGGCAAACGGCTGTTCAAAGCTGTCAAAATACTAAAGTTGGGGCTCGAATAGAGACCTAAAGTTTAAACCAGTTTGCTGTAAAGTGAATCCAGTAAATCTCTCTCCCATTGACTCTAATTGAAGTCCTCCATGTTTTTTACACGTCCTTCTTCGCTCATCCATGCATCCATACGTTCATGCATCATCAATATGTTCAGCTCAGGGATTGTCTGAGACCACAACCGGATCCTCCATACCTGCGCAAACCACATCCCGTAGCTGATGTCCTACCTTTGGACCATGATTCACCTTGTATGAGGTTTTAGCAGTCAGCTAACTTTGCTCCCAACTATTGCCCATAATGTAGGTGCAGTTTAAGGCTATTTGGCAGTGGTGCCTGGTCCATAGAGGGCAATGGAGCGTCGCCCCACCGTGAGCATGATTCATTTTGTACTGAAAATACATTTGACAAATAGTCAATGTGTGTATATATTATACGACAAATTACATTTGATTTGTTGTATATGTGTGTTTTGGAAACATGGATTATATAACTGGTAGTAACTGTAAATTAAGAAATATATGCTTTTCCTGCACGTCCTCTTGGCTATACAGTATATATTCATGGATGTACTGAATTGTATGAATTAGATGTCCTTATTATGTTAAAATGTTAAATATTTAACTGCAAAGTAAGAATGCGTGTTTGGTATGCTTCCTTTGCATTGAATCATACTGGTGTTTACTGAAACGGATTGGCTGACCCTACCAAAATAAAATTCCACCACTGCTGTTTGGAACGCTTTTACGATTCCGTTTGACAGTCAACAAGTCACCTCGACCGCCCTGCACAGCTGAGCAACAGGATGAACTCTTCTGTCGTGTTGGTCCAACGGCCTGTCTATAAAAATAACCACATGATCTAGTTTTTTCTTTTTTTCTTTTAAGTGTAAAATACTACAAACCAACTTTGTAGAAGTTTATAGAAGCATCAAGTAAATAATAGTTCACAGTATCTAATACTTTCATTTCATATTTTTGGGTTCGTTATTAGCGTTTGAGTGCTAGATAATGCTACTTTGACCTCATCTTGAAGTGAATGCTCCTGTTTAACACGTGTCCACCGGACAAGTTACAGCATCAGGACCTTCCCAGCAAGTGACCACCGGCCACTGATGAGAGTTCAAGAGTCAACAGCCTTCAGGATGTTCCAACTCACACACACGCATGTTTCCACCCAGGTACCACTCATGCCGTGGAGGTCCACTTGGCAGAGGAACCGAAACCGTGAGTGGAACCGGGCTTTTTACCATTGGCTGACTTGTTACAGTCACTGGATCCACTCCAAGCCTGCAGTGAAGATACAGCCAAACTGCTTCGAACCAGGAGAAAATGAATGAGTAAAGGAAGGAAGGTAATTACCAAATCCAAAGCTGTTCGGCGTTCTTTGTGATGTGAATCACCCGGCTGGGTCGGGGGCTTTCTTCTGTTGGCTGGATGATAGCGTCTGGAGCGACGGCGTGCAGCAGTGCAGGGAAGGGCGTCGGAGCATGGAAGGGTTCGTCTCGCGGTGGGATTGGTGTCAGTTTTCAGCCAGTGACAGTGACAGAGCCGCCTGCAGTGCCGCTTCTTCATCGATGCTGTAGTCCTGACAGAAAAGCACAGAGCGGCCGGCTCCTGGTGACCGCAAACCATGCGGCGGCCTCAATGTAATTCATGTAAAACACACATCAGGTATTTCAGGAGGCTTCTCCATGGTCACGTTTCCAAAAGAAACCATGGAAGCACTTTTGACTTGGATCTTTCTCTCACTCAGGTCAGAATGTGGGAACAATTGTACCTTATAATTCATCTCACATCAAAAAAAGTTGAGTCACATTTAAATTGAAACTATCAACTCTGAGAAATTGACTAATGCAAGCAAAAGGACGATAGGTGTACAATACGTATTGATTAACATCGCTGGATGCTGTTACAATATAAGATCATTCACAAATGACATATTTTATGACTCAGTGTGCACTGGCTGCATGTGTGATAATCATGAAATAAATCCAAACTCTAAGCAAACACATCAGTGACCGGCGCTGTGGTATAAGGAGACACAACATCAGCGCCAGACTTACAACAAACGTGTCGTAAGAGAACTTGTGTCTGTGGAGCAGATGCTGCAGGAAGTTGGAAGGACTGAGCCCATCGGGGGAGTCATCCATCAGCACACAACACCAGCAGTCATAGGAGAGAACGCCGAGGGGCGCATGCGTGCTGTGGGACAGACCAGTGACTAGGAATGAATGTGATGTTATTATATATATTATAACATTGTACATGTTTGGATATTTCTCTGCTCCTAATGTAGACGTTTGTGTTCTTCTCGGCAATATATTCATATTTTTACTACTAATACTTATTAGTCATTTCATGATATTACACTTTTTTTAAATTGTTTCAAATTTTATAATGAAATTCCACAATGACGTCCTGTTTCTACAGTGTGAATATTATGGGCCTAAACAAATGTTAGACACTTTAAACCAACGTTTTCTTAGATAAGTGTGAAGTAAGCCACAACAACACCAACAACAGGACAGTACTGTTATGGTCAGCTGCTGTTTTCTCCCCATCCGGTGTGTTTGTACCGTCCTTTTCCCCGGCGTGTCCGTCTGTGCTGTTTGTCTCCACCTACAAGAGGCGTGGCCTGTCATCCTGAGCCGTCCCCACACAGCTGATCTCCATTATTCACCCCCCCAGTATTTAAACCCGGGCTGCCCGCTTCTCCAGCGCCAGATCGTTGTACACCCCTGCGTGATTCTGCTGTCCCCGCTCTGACCTGCCGTGCCACCTGCCTCCGTCCCTCTGGCGTCCTCACCCGGCTGTCCCCCTTCCATTGAAATCCCTTCTACAGATTATCAGTCCCGTGGGATCTGTGTGTTGGGTCAAATCTCCCTCCTAACAGGTACAAAGTTAAAGTTCATGGTGACCTCGAGCTGTTCACTGGGGGGACGTGAAAAGGTTCGTGCAGGATAAGGTGTCTCTGTCCCGGGCTGTGTGAGTGAGTTATTCTAGACCAGGGTGTCAAACATACAGCCCGCCAGCGGGTCCAGATCGGCCCACCGGATGACTTCGGTAGTGTGAGAATTACAGAAAGACACAAATTGCATTTCCAAAGAAGTAATAAAAGGGCAATTGCTTGAGATCAAAGTGAGTTAGACACTCCTACCCTAGATGACGTAATCTAGTCCCTTACCACTTTACTGGGGTCGTTGCGGTGACTGTCCATGCAGAGCTCCACCAGCGCCTGCTGGTCCAGCTGTCCGGCCCCACAGAACGGACACACAAACGTTGAGCGGTTTGGAACATAGAGAAGACCACCTGCATTATGATGGGGCATGGATTGCACACAGTGAGTTCTAGGGGGGAGAGGGAGGGAGAGATAGGGTAGAGGGAGGGAGAGAGGGGGAGAGGGAGGACTTCTCTGGCAGCGGCTCTCATTCAGAGAACAAAGAAGCCACTTACATATTTTTGTATGCTGATAAAGAGGTTAACACCTAATTAATGTTTGTGTTCATGATGACTACACAGAGCAAGAAGATCTCCACATGTACTTCACCACGGTTTTTGAAGCACACACACACACACACACACACACACACACCATTGTATTGTCTTGTCAAATGATTAAATAAAGACTTGACATTTGGAAACCTAAATCCATAATACCCAGAGATCCTCATCACACATCTGTTTATGCCAAAATGTTTCCAAACCTTTTAGATATTTGTATTACTTTATTCATGGTTGTCGTAGTTTAAGTTAATACGCACACCGCTCTCTTATGGACTGCTGCTGACCGCGGTAGAGGCGGTGATGCCGCTGGGCCGTGGTACCCCTCCAACAGGCTTGTTTGCCACTCACTGTGGCACAAAATGTTTATGGAAAATAATTGTAAAGGGCTTCAGTAAACAAATGTTTTTGCATTGTGCTGCGCATGTGCTGAGCGTGTTCAGGGTGTGAGTACCTTGGTACAGGTTGGGAGGTGGACACCACAGGGACGAACTTAGGACAATTAGCTATCTGCTCCTGTACTTTGGAACAGGACGCAATGCGGGGCCTCATCTTTGCCAGGGCCACCTGAGAACACACACAATAACACAAGGACAACATCATGTGTCTTACTCCAGGTTCTCACTGACTCACACTGACCAGTCCAACACACTTTACATTACCAACCAGGATTAAACCCTCTGGCCACCCTGCAAGCGGAGCGGACACATGGAGACTACGGCAGCGAGTGATGCCACGGTGACAGCACTCAATGATGTACCAGTTGCTCCTACCTACCTTCTTGTTACAGAGGCCAGCTGCTTCTCCACGCTGGAGGAGCGTTCCACCTTCTTGGGGTCAAAGGGCACGCGACAGAGAGGGCAGAGGGGCGAGGTCACCTGGAGACACGGCTGCAAGCACTCCGCACAGAACCTGTTACCGCCAGGAGAAAAGGTTAATGCGACGGTAAAGGTTGAGTGGCGATCCCAGGGATGTCCTGCTGGTCCAGGCTTCAGTCCGCAAGTGTCTCCTTGTGAGGAACCTTTGGCTTGTGTCCCAGGATTCTATTCCGGAGACACTAGAGTCAAATGTCTTTCTGTTCCCTGCTCCGCGCTTCTGTGGGCCGGGGACAAGCAACTTTCCTCCATGAACATCAGCAGCAGATGAGTAAAAATAGCTGCATCTGTCCTATAAATAGAAGTGAGGCTCCCTGAGGGCTTCTCTTCTCTTTGTTGTTCTTTTCAGCTCTATCAGATCAGATACGCTCCTCACTATGAAGTGCCCATTTATTTCATTGCATATGATCATGTAAAAATCATCATTAATGAGCACATTAGAAAACAAGAGCAAATACAAGGGCTTTCAAAGCGTGGTCCCATGAAAATCCTCATTTTAATACACACAGAAAGACTCACAAATGCAAAAAGAAGATTCACAAAGAGAGAACGGATCAGATATCCGTTCTCTCGTAAACATTCTTCGTTTTAATAATGGCGGTATTGTGCTGTGAACCTCGCAGCATCGATCGCACCCTGAAAGCACCGTCTCCACCTCCCCCCCCCATCCATCCGCCCCGACGTCAAACGTTTGACTGCAGTATCTTATGCGCCTTATAATCCGGTGTGTGCCCTATATATGAAATATGTTCTAAACTAGGTCATTCATTGAAGGTGCGCTTTATAATCCGGTGCGTCGTATAGTGCAGAAAATACGGTAGTGTGGGTTTTCTGCGACTTCTAACACAGTAGATTCACAAATGCGTATTTTTTAACATTCAGCCAATGTCGGCCTCATTTTCAACCAATGACATGAGCACACACCTCTCTGGGAACCGTCACCTTATCGTGGTGGAGAGGTTTGTGTGTCCCTGTGAACCTGAGGGCTGTGTTGTCGGGGGCCTTGTGCTCCTGGTAGGGTTACCCTTGGCAAAGTGGCAAGCCCAACACTCTACTCCCCATGGGCTCGACACCTGTGGGGGAAACCGATGGGGTCGGGTGCGCTGCTACAAGGGTGGCAGTGACAGTGGGGGTCCAGACGGAACGGACCTGGGCGGCAGATGCTGGCTCCCTCTCTGGGGGGGAAGGAGCCGGCGCTTGTTCAGGAGGTGGAGCGTTACCAGTTGGATCTGGTGGTAAAAATAGTTTTATATATATATATAGTTATATAGATTCATTAATATACTGAATTGTTTGAATAAGACGTCCTTATTATGTTAAACTGTTGAATGAATGTTTTTGCATTGAATAATACTGTGCTGTAGAGCTGCACGGTATACCGGTATAAGATGTCCAAACGTAACCTTCAAACCGGTGTTACGAACGTGTTGCATCATAACAACCGACTTCAGCAGGCGGCAGAATTTATTTTTGCAGGTCCTCACGTGTGTTGAGATTGAGTCCTGGTTATAACTTTATACCAACAATGAATAACCCACAACAAACTCTTTAACAGGTAAAACACCACGACACAACAGCTTGTGACACATAAACAATTTGTAACACTAATAATTATACATTTATAAAAAGTAACTCTGCTGCTACATGAAAAGACAAAAAAGAGCGATACAGGAGGATCAACGAGAGACCAGAGATGCACCAACACAACTTGTGCCCAACAGAGGAGCCCAGGCTGTTTGGAGCGTTTTTGGTTTTGGGAAATCTGATTTTATATCAGAAAACGATTCATTGCAAAGTCTGTCGAGTTGGCCAGCGAGCGGCGAACAGCTGTTCGGGTAGCGTCAATGAATGAATGTGTTTACTTGAAAAAGCAACACCGTCACAATCTTTGATACCGTGATATGGATTTTTGGCCTCACCGTGCAGCCGGGATGTTTACTGAAACTGATTGACTGACCCTATCAAAAAAATAAACCCACCAGCCTCCACTCCAAGCCTCCAAGCCTCCACTGTACAGCATACATATGTTCCTGTTGTTTTAGAGCTGCCTCTTTGAATATCGGCATGTTCCCATCATCCGAGCGGCAGGTCACATGATCTGAAGGCACCTTTCGACCATATGAACGGCCTGTCAGTCTCAGTCAGGAATCAGGAATCAGGAAACATTTATTGCCAAAATATGTCAAACATACAAGGAATTTGTCTTGGCGGTTAGTGCGTGACAGTAGACAGTGTAACAACAGACAAGACAGCAGTGCACAAGTAATACAATAAAATGAAATGCTAATGCAATGGGTTAGTAGAATAAGGATATGGGTTAGTATAAAACAAGAGAATAAAGTTAAAAAATTTAAAATATTAAAAAAGTTAAATATTAAGCATAAAGTGCACTATCGAACAAGTAACAAAGTGACGAGTGACGACAAAGTGATGAATTGCAGTTAAAGTGACATGTGCAGTGTGAAGGGGAGTGACCGGTGGAATGTTATAGTCAGTCAGTGGGGGACCGGCTCTGTTGATGAGCCCGACTGCCGACGGGAAGAAACTGTTGGTGTGGCGGGAGGTCTTAGTCCTGATGGACCTCAGCCTCCTGCCAGATGGAAGGGGCACAAACAGGTTTTGTCCGGGGTGAGAGGGGTCGGCCACCATCTTTTTAGCTGCTTCAGAGACCTGGAAGCGAACAAGTCCTGCAGGGACGGCAGATTGCAGCCGATCAGCCTCTCTGCAGAGCGGAGGACACGCTGCAGTCATTGCATCGACAACCCATGAACGTTATGGCAGTCTGATTCAATACCTGACCATTTTCCACCAACGTAAATAGGATTAGAGCAGCATATTCTCCCTTTTGATCTCATGAAAATGCGTTTTAAATATGACTAATACTTCCCCCATTGTACAACATTGATCGAGTCTTCAGTGGCAGTGTCCCTTCCCTGCCAGCAGGGGGCGGTGTTACATGTCTATTCATAATTATACATTGACCACTGTATTAAATCTGATTGTCAACATTATTACATGAACTAATGTCTGCGTGTAAAACAAAGAAACGACTCGTGTCTCAACTGTATCAAATATTTTTAATGTTTTCTTTTCCTCCAAAAATGATTAGTCTGTGACTTCAATCTGGCTGCAGAAACCCGGTGAGGGGGGCCGCTGTTCATCCCCCGGAGTTCTCCTCTTTTCCCTACTCCAGTGCATCCTTTGACAAGCATAGAGATGGTTTACACAACATGGAATAACAGTCTATCCCGGAAAACTGACATGCATCAAAAGTCTATGACTGTAAATGTTATGCAGCACAAACTTTTCCCTAATACCTATTTGAGCATTTTCCACCAGTCTGCACGTTTTGTAGCCGTCAGAAAATGTATTTGGATCCACAACACCTGGGAAAGAAAGACAACGCTTGCAGGGATTTCAGAGAGTCAGCTGCGCAAATGTCCGGTAATATCTCGATTTTAATTGGTCCGTGTTTGATTCGTAACGTGGATTACTGGCATAACCTATTTACGTGCAAAGGCACAGCAGTGCTTTTTGACGTACGTGTTGTAGAATAAGTGCGCATGTGCAACATGGGTTTCGCTTGTGGTCCGCAATGAATGGACGGTAAAAGCGCTGCTTATTCTACCATTTCTTTGTGTTTGATTATGCGTAACGGCTGCATTTGTCATCGTAACATCTAAACAATTAGAATAACACACATATTGCATATATAACTATAAGAAGTTATGAGATAGATGATTACTGGCACGGTGGTCCGCAGTGGTAAAAGCACTGCTCATTCTGTATTTCATTGTTTGTAACGTCTGGACAGTGGGAACAACACACATGTTGCATATATCATTATAAGAATAAGCAGTAAAAATACAAATACATGTTTATTAAATAAATAAACATTTTTATGTGTGATTTTTTTGTAAATATATTAAAATGAAAAACAATTGAGCTCTTCCATCTGTGTTGCTTTCACGGTCTTTTCAGGTGCTACAGATCACGTGACCTGCCGTTCAGATGACGGACACATGGCGACGCGCAAACAACAGGGGCCACACGTGCTGTGTAACTTAAATACAACGAGACGCAAACAAACAGCAGACACACAACAGACACGCAGACAAACAGCAGACACGCAGACAAACAACAGACACGCAAACAAACAACAGACACGCAAACAAACAACAGACACGCAAACAAACAGCAGACACGCAAACAAACAGCAGACACACAACAGACACGTCACCATGACAACGTCAAAAAATATGATTTACAATTAAGGGAATTTATTTCATAAATTTTTTGTTTAGTTTAGAGTTTCTTCCCGTCGGCAGTCGGGCTCATCAACAGAGCCGGTCCCCCACTGACTGACTATAACACTCCACCGGTCACTCCCCTTCACACTGCACACGTCACTTTAACTGCAATTCATCACTTTGTCACTTGTCACTTTGTCACTTGTCTGTTACTTGTTCGTTAGTGCACTTTATGCTTAATATTTTTCTTTTTAACTTTTTAATATTTAACTTTGTTTAACTTTATTCCCTTGTTTTATACTAACCTATAGCCTTAGCCTTATTCTACTAACCCATTGCATTATCATTTCATCCCACTTTATTTTATTACTTGTGCACTGTTGTCTTGTCTGTCTACTGTCGCGCACTAACCGCCAAGACAAATTCCTTGTATGTTTGACATATTTTGGCTAATAAATGTTTCCTGATTCCTGATCCTGAAATTGTAAGATGAGGTAGTTTAAATTATTACTGTTTTTGTTTTTTTGCAAATCGATGGCAAAATGTCTATTTATGAATAAATAGTCTGATTTCATGTTTTTTTTGTATATATTTTGTATGTGCATGCATTGCAATGATGTGTGTGGCCTTTCAGTAAGTCAGCATTCGATGCCCCTCAAAGGGCTTAAGGTGTCTGCCAGAGAGCTTTAAACACTCGACTAATGCAGTTAACGTGTAAACCTGTATGGGTGAGATTGGAAACACATCTCTGAAGAACTGTAAATGTTAGATATTTACACAAAACAACCCTGTAAGCATGTGTTTTTCATCCCTCCCTAAATATGGATTCAATAAGTGCTCTTACAGTCACTTTGTTTTGCACTGGTTTAGAAATTAGCGAGGTCCGTATTAATATCATGTTATTTGACGTTTTCCCTTCATTTCCAGCAGTGGGGTAAGTTTTCATTAATTTTGTTGGAAATGGCTTTATAGAAAACATTAAATTCAGGCACAGGTGACACTTGATATATTAAACAATTGTATTATTATTATTATTATTATTGAAGCATTCATTAGTTTTGTCTTAACCTAAAATAATACATTTTAATCATCATTTCATCATCCAATGTTCACTTCTTCCCGTAGATCACCAAACACCTGACCTGCTCCAGAGATGAGAAGCCCATCAACATCACGTCTGCGTCACAGCACAATGGGTCAGACTTTAAATGAATGCATTCATTATGTATTATCACTGGATTTACAATACAATTCAATATATTTATAAAATCCCAAATCACCAATGTTCTATTGGCCAGTGGGAGGTTCCTTTTCAGAACGGCATAAACTGATCTCAGAACAGCATGAAGCGGCGCGGACCCGCCTCCGGTGTTTAGGCGCTGAAGAAGTCACATTCAAAACACACGCTTTCATGAGAGCAAGAGGGAAAATACACTGCCATGTACCAGATGTATGTATGCACGCCGTCCATGAGTGCTGCATTCATCAATCTGAACATGCCGCTCAGAAGATGTCGAGATTCAGAGGAAACACACACACATGAATGAATGAACAAACACGGAAGTGAAGCAGTAAAAAGAGACACTTTATGATGTTGTTTCAGGCATACAGTAACAGCGTGTGCTGCGTAACACCAGTTTGATGGTATATTTGAATGAGAACACAGGACATACAGATGAAGATACGTGTGCAGAGTTCATAGGTCACAGGCCCCAAATCCTGCAGGTTGAAAGGAGCATAGTTGTGCAGTACGTTGCAGCTGCATTTCCTCCTCTAATCCGCTGCATCCAGCAGGAACTCCCCGATCTCCTCTCTCATCTGAGACCTGTTGGGAACAAGGTGCTGTGGTGATTGGGTCATATGTCCCCCGTCCTCCTTCACGGCCGTTGACCGCCGTCTAAAACAGGCAGCCAGATCTCTAACGCCTCCAGTGTGTGAAGCTCTCCTTCACGTTGTGATGAAACACCCAGGAGGCGCGCGTGCTACAGCTCCACCCGTCTGGCCTCTGCACGCTCAGACCACACGCCGCTTCCTGTTTGCACACTGAATGGCGGATAATGGCGCCTGGTCGCAGTGGGTGGGGCCTGGCTGACGGGGCCAGGACATGGACTCTAATGGATCCCAGTAGGTCCAGCTCCACGTGGAGCAGAGGGGACACCCATGTGGGGTTTTAACGAAACCTAATCTTCTCCTTACCTGCGCTGCCTCCGCTGAGCCTCTGACAGGATGTAGTGGGGGAGACGTTCCACCGACGACTAGGAGGACAACAAGGAAAAGCGGGGCGGGACATCTGTGAGACGAATGTCTGAGACATTGTGGATTAAGTGATCACAAACAAGCACAGCGCTTAGACTGCACGTGACAATGACATCACTCACCATGTCTCTGATGGTCAGCTGACAGCTGTAACACAGCAGGCTCCTCAGATCGGAGCTCTCTGCTCCCCTGTGACACAAGCGGGTCGGAGGTCAAGTGGGCTGGACCAATAGAACCCTCTTTCTGTTCACTGCTAATTGTTAGCATGCTAAACCAGAGGTTCCCCAAACGACCCCTTCGACACACACACACACACACACACACACACACACACACACACACACACACACACACACACACACACACACACACACACACACACACACACACACACACACACACACACACCTCTTCCTCTGTGGTACTGAGGTCTGCAGGTGCTCAAAGGGTTCCTGTATAGTTACATTTTGCAGAATCCTGACTTATGATCCTTCATACATGGAATACTTTCCAGTCCACACTCCCCTCTGCAAGCCTGCTCACCCACAGATGAGGTGATTTGGTCTGTGAGCTTTGGCAGTATTGGCCCCTTGCAACTGTAAATGGCGTCCATTGACACGGACAACAGGCAGGCTCCTTTAAGAGGGTTTCATCAGGGAGTTCCTGTCACTCCCCTGATCTCCTCCCTCAGCTCAGACGTCCTGGACAGCACCGTCCTTCATGAAAGCCACCTGGACTCGCTGTGCTCATCGCTGACGGGATCCTGGATTTCAGGGGGTTTTTATGCGGTTGGCGGTCGTGACGACATTTACCAACAGTCGGCCTTTGGCGGGGACAGACAGATGAAGCCGGACGCAGTGACCCGTAGGGGCGCAGTGAAGGGTGTGAGCTGACCAGAGCTTTGTAGCATAGTGGTTCTGATCAATAACCAATAACCTGGACACTTACTTGGCAGACGAACAGCAGCCTTCACCACTTGCTGCGTTCCCACAATCCTCTGCTCCAGAGGTGCAGCGCTTCCCAATGGCGGCAGCGGATTCGTGCTCCTTTGGAGCTTTAACGACAAATCAGTGTGGAAACTCATTTGTAGACTTTTACAGTAGTGGAGGATTCTAACGGTAGGTTTCTTCCTGGCTCCACTGAATGTTTTGGAGATAATATGTATTTATTGACTGTACCTGGGGTTACAACGCTGGTGTCTCCTGCAGCTTGAGCCTGAGAGAGCTGCTCCGAGATCAGCGTGGCCTTGAAGGCGGAAGCGTTCTCTGAAAAAGAGACGAGAGCAACGCTTGTATCTGCTGTGCAGGTCAAGAGGGCAATGCTGACGTGGAGCCCTGGTGCGTCTGAGACATCGTCTTTTGTCCAATATGCAAAGTGACGGAAGTTTGTTAAGAAGCTAAATGTGTTGATGTGATTGGCTGATTCGCAATTCGTGTTCACAAGCAAGTGAACAGGTGACCTATTCAAGTTATGACCCTCAGATTATTCAAATAGACAATAACGTTGCAGAGATGTTCTCTGTGGTTAAGCCCTTAAATGCTACAGTGTGGTGCATTGTGGCGTGATTGGTATCCTGTCATTTTTTAAATAAGGAGAACCCTTCCGTGCTCCCCTGTGGGGACGCGCGTGGCCTCCGTCCCATACGGAATGAACGGAGGGACAAAAAGCACCCGTGGTGGTTTATGGTTATTCACCAGCAGCCGTGTCCAGGGCGCACATGCAGAGCAGACATCGGTCACAGAGGTCGGCGGTGGAGGAGCTCCTGCAGGCCGTCTGCAGCTTCTCACTGGTCCTGCAGACAACACAGCAGAGTTCTAATGACCTCACGGGGGCTTCAGCACCTGGCACATGCTGGTGTGCAATGTTTACAGCGTGATCCGCATATTGAGGCCCTCCTGCAGGGACCATGCTCATGTGCGCGGCGGCGTCCTGCTGACCTGTAGATGGTGCTGACGGTGGAGGGGAAGTCCGCCTGCAGCTTGGTGACGAAGCTCTCGGTCAGACGCTGGATGCTGGACTTGTCGGTCGCCTGAGGGACACAAACAAACCACAAAGGGAAACCAGAGCGCTTCAGGTAAGAGCTCTGCTCTCGTGGGCTACACCCTTCTGCATGGGGAGCACATTGTGTCCATGGGACTTCTTCCGTTCAATCAATCATCAACCAAGCAGTCAGTCACCTGCTGCCGCTTGGACTTACCTTGGTCTCCAGGCCGGGTATGAAAACAGACGGCACGCCGAACAGGCGGTTGTAGTAAGCGATTTCTTTAGCCGAGTAGTCCCTCATTGGTCTCACTAACAGGATGTCTCCATACCTGGAGTCTGAGAAACCCTGATGACACACAGTCACGTCAGTGCAGTTCCTCCGGTCCCGCGTCTTGTGGAACAGCAAAGGGGGAACCGCTCACCGTGTCCTGGGCCAGCTGTGCCCCTCGGCCCAGTGATATGCTGGTGAGCAGCTTGATGGCCAGTCGGGTGCAGTTGTCTCCCAGCATCACCTTGCTGTAGCCTTCAGAGCGAGCAGTGTGCACCAGCAGGTGCTGCCTGAGAACACAGCCAGACCACGGATCGGACTTTGGGTTTGGATCATCTGTCGGCCAACAAAGCTTCCTTTTCTTTACTTGGCGAGTCGAATAACCGCGAGAAGAGCAAACCGCTTTGTAAATGAAATTCAGCCAGAATAAAATGAACAAAGTCATTTGTCAATCCTGGGGTGGGGGTTGATTTTTCGATTTCTCTCGATTCTCTCTAGAACGATTCGGTCTCGATTCAGAAAAGCTCATAATCGGAATTAAAAAAAACAAGAACACAAAAAAGTCCATCTTCGAGAGGTATTTGCTCGCTCGTGGAGCGTGAACTTCGTTGCTCGCGAGGTGAGTCTCTGCTCGCGCTGGAAGGTGTTTTCTACGCGCTCGCTGTTGTTCTTTCTGACAGTAAGGGGCGGAGCCAGTCACCATGGTCTCTACACCTGATTGGTTACAAACCCCGTCTTTGGATTGGCTGGAGTGATGCGTTCACAGAACTATAGAAGCCCATTTCCGCACTGAAGAAAGGGGATGAAATTATGAGATAAAACATCAAAAAACAAACGCTCCCTTCGGTAACCGTAGTGGAGCGTAGACGACAACCAGCTACAAGCATCATTTACCATCATTACCGGCACATTAAGAGCAATGCGTCCAGCTCGCAGACCGGTCCGTCAGTCTGAGTCTGAATATATCTAATAACTTTACCGAACTATGGAGGAGCCTGAGCACATCTTACCTCATTATTTCCATTTTCCAAAAAGTCGATCCGTATCGAAAGTTGGCAAGATATTCACAGATTTGGACTTTTTTCCGGTATTTTACAAATAAGGACCTGTCTGAGACTAAGAGCAGCTTTTTCTTCATTTAAAAGAAAAATGAATCTGTTTAATATTTTTTTTACACAGGCTACTTCCATATTGTGTTGAAATGCAATCTGCATTGGTTCTTCGTTGATAGAAAATCAGATTTGTGACAAAGATTTTTTTTTTTCCTCTTATAAAAAATTAGAGAAAGTATTTCATCTGTTGATTTTCTTTAATTATCAAATAAAGTAGGAAGTGATTCGCAAACTCAGTTTGCTCCCCTCTGAGGAGCAAACTCAGATTTGAGAAAATTTAGAAAATCGACGCATCGATAATCGTTTTATCAGTTTAGAATCGATAATCGGTTTAGAATCGAATCGTTGACCTCTGAATCGGAATCGAACCGTGGGGTGCCAAGGGATTCCCACCCCTACAGCCGACTGTTCTGTTGGGGAAATAAACCCACGGGCTGTGGACACCGACCTCAACGTGCTGAGCAGGTCTTCTCTGGCCGTCAGCGTCTTCGCCGAGCCAATCAGCTGCTGCAGTGAGCGCGTGCGGGACTCCTGAACATCGGCGGGAGCCCTTCGCTCCGGGTCCAGCGAGGTCCGGCAGCCGGCCGCGCCGCTCCGAACGAAGTCACCCACGGCCGCCTTGTAGGCGCCGGTTCCCGAGGCAACGAGCGACGCCGCCGCCAAAACTGAACTGGGAAGGTCTAGAACCTGAGAGGAGGTTGGAGGAACGCGTTGGATTGGTTGTAGACTTCAAAATAAGAGTTTCAGCATTGATAAGAAAAGGACAGTGCCGGGATCTGTGAGCTGTGACTTCAGACGTCCACTCGGTCTATAAAAGCACCTGTTGTGCAGCATTTAACAGGACAGACAACCGGTTGATGAAGCACTGGCAGCCCATTAATAACCACTCACACACCGCAGGTCATCCCTGGCCATTTCAAACCGGCGTCCCACGGGGGGCCTGAGCGCAGGAGAAGGCGCGCTTGCTCAAAGGGAACCGTGGCAGCAGCCGTACGGCCACGCTCACCTCTTCCAGAGGCACCGTGACGAAGGGGAGGCCGGTCGCCGTGAACACGGCCTGCAGCTCAGCAGCCGCCCTCCGCCGGTCCTCCACCGCCTGACCCACAGCGCCGCCCTCTGCCACACACACACACACACACACACACACACACACACACGATGAATAGGATGCATGCGCAGCACAGGAGTGACCGTTGCCATTTCATTTACCGTCAATGAAGACAATGCCAGGTGAGAATCTCAGCTTCTTATGAGCATTCTGACTCAAACCCTAGAGGAGGAAGAGAAGTTGTTCAGTCGCTGTTTAACAGAAATATCCCTGTGGTGATCCTTAAAACGTGTGCAGGTGAGACAAGAGACGTCCTCGCTAGGACACCAGTGGTCCTCTGGCTTTACTCAGCCCAGCGGTAGCTTTTTACTTCACACACTTCAAACTCCATGAAGGGAAGTGGTGGTCCTCACTCATGAAGAGTGATGATACAGAAACACAGGTTCACCTCTTGGACTTGACGGAGCATTGAGCAGGAAGAAGCGCCTCCAGATACAGCCAGCAGCACCTGCAGCCACACGGTCACGTGCTCGTTATTGTGGGACGGCCGGTCACGTTGTGCCAGGGAGCACGCGGCTTACCTTCTCCCCGGGGAAGATGACTCGGTTCTTGCCCAGCATGGCTCGGAACTTGTGGATGAAGTATTCCTTGAAACAAACCCTAAAGACAAGGAAGGGAAGCAACGGGAGGTCAGCCACACCCCCCGGCGCCAGCAGCACCGCCGGCACGAGCTTCTGCGTAACCGTGAACACGCAAGACGTCGGATTCACGTCCGCTTTTACCACAAAATCATATTTGGATAGTCAATTCTAAAGTGGAGGCCCCACTTTTAACACTAACTGTGTTAAGTGTCTGCTTTAATCAGCTGTACGTTCACAGGAGACTCCAGTCGCTGCCACATCTGGATCCACTCCCTCATGCAGCTGAACATTCACGGCAATTCTTTACGTGCTAGAAGCAGCTCACGCGTTTCCAACCTAAGTACGTTGATAATGCTTCAGAGACGCGGCGCCTCGTGATGCTCTGAATAACTTCTCCATGACATCGTCCAGCAGAGGACACGTCTTACCTGCAGAACGCATCTCCTGCCCGGATGACCACGGCTGCCGTCCCCTCTTTGCACTTCACACATTTCTTGGAAACACTGAGAAATGGGAGAGACAAAACAAACCTTTAAGAAACGGTTGTGGATGGATTCATACTTTTATCAAACACTGCAGTCCCACATACTGGGGAAGTTCACGGTTTAGTGCACAGTCACGACAGTAATGGAGACGGTCTAAAGTATTTATCTCAGGGGGGAGAAATGATGAACAAGCAGCTCTTGAAATACAATCATTGATTGCTGACTCGCGTTGTGCAAATAAACACTATAGATGACAAAGTAGAGTGTTTAGAGGATACGTCAGATCACGCCTGGGGGAGGGTGAAATGATGCCAGCGACGTCCCCTCTGGCTATTTCTTTTTCCATATAAATCCATCTCTGCTTCCAAACGCCACTGAGACGTGGATGTGAGGCCATACTGCACGGGGGGGGGGTAGAAGTTTGTCTCATGCACCAATCAGACGGCAGGACATGCGATCACGTGGGGCCCGAAGACGTCCCGACGAGGTTCTAACAAGGGATCCTGCATCTCAGACGTCCTCAGCAAGGAGACACGTCGTCTTGCGTGTCTTCGGAACATCTTTCGCGCACCGCAGCAGGCGGGGACGCCTCGAGGCGGCGCGCGCTCCCCGCAGCCCTTCAGCGGTTTAGTGTGAGCCGACGTTACGCACCTGAGCGGGTCCGCGCGCTGCAGCGGCTCGTGGTAGTCTTCCTCCACCTGGCACATCGGAACGCCGGCTGACGGCTGCGGGTCTCCGGGGGGGGGGGCGAGCTAAAGCTGCGTGTTCTCCGGGGTCACCTTCAAGGAGCCGCCAACAACTTACACGTGAACGCAACGCCGTCGTTGAGTGATGACTCTGCTAACGGTGTTTATGTTACAACTGTGCGCCACCGCGGCGCTTTCTGATGACGTAGGCAGCTGCCCCGCGCTGCGGGCGCTCTGCGCCGCCAGCTGGTTCGGGAACGTGAAACAAGGCCACCGGGATGACAAACTGGTAGAGATTCTGGGAGTCACAAGAAATGTTCTCAAAACTACTTTTAATAATACTGAGAAAAGAAATGTCGGACCAATAACACCGTAGGGGGGAATCCGCAGTGTTATATGTGATTTACAGGCACGGACCCAGCTGTACAGAGGGATCTCCACCTGGATGCTATTAGACTGTTTGCATGTCAGTGGTCTGTAGAGGTGGAAGGCGTGTCTGGATGTGGCCGTGCTCGGTCCACAGAGGTAATCGAAGCCCTCGCCCCCCTGCAACCCCCAGAGACCCGATAGGGACGCTGCCTGCGGCCCACGAAGAGGAACCAACGCGGATCGGACCGAAGTCTTTAGTGTTAAATTGTATGTGTGGCGGGAGAGCGAGACTAAAGAGCCCTGTGTTACTGTCCGTCAGCTGTTGATGAGATTATAATCAGACCCCCCCCCCCTTAAAAACACTCAAACTGAGGTGAAATAAGCGGGAGGTTTGCGTCCATGTATGTTGATCATAAAAAATAAAACATGCCATTTAACAAATGCCAACTTTTATTATAAGTATTTTCAGGCAAATGAGGAGAAAAGTTAGAAAGGTTGAGATTAACAGAAAGTGCAGTTTTATTGAAAAGACGTTGAAAGAGAACTTGACTAAAAAAAGCCTAAAACAATTATCACATACAAGTATTTACAGAAGGGGAATTCACAATGGGTGTGGATGTGTTTGTATGTGAGCAGAGTGGGTTTTAGATTTTGTTGATGCTGGCAGCAGGCAGGGTGGACTTGTCCAAGTCCTCAAAGTAGGCGTGTGTCATAGCCTCGCGGGCGGAGATCCTTTTGGGGGGGTTGTAGATCAGCATTTTCTACAGCAGAGGGACGAGAAAGGAATGAGATGGTGCGTGTGTACATCCATGAATTAGGGTACGCATGTTTTGGGGGAAAAGAAATGTAACTTTAAGAAGACACCCGAGCTCCTTTCTTTGTAGCAGATAGTCAGATTGTTGATGATCCCCATCGTCAGTTACTCGTCTACAGGGATCCACAGGATTTAGTCTCACCACCGTCGCAAAAATCCTTTAGACGTTTCCAAAGTCAGTGATGAATTCTGATTAAAGAATGGATTTTTATTGATTCTATGAATCAACTAATGTTCCTTACACAACACGTGTTTGGAGCAGCGCTTGAGGTCTGGAGATCCTACTGGAAGGGTTCTAAAGACAGCCACGCTGACATGCACAGTGCTGGCTGCAACATCTCCACCTTCAGAGGGCGGAGGCGTCGCAGGCAGCGTGCCGTCTGCAGAGCTTTGAATTGGTTCTGCAGGTCTTTTTAACAAGGTACCATTCAAGCAACAAAGCCGAGGTGACCGTGTTCAGTGGGATGAAGGGATGCACAATGCATTCAGATATCATGGAGAAAATCTAGTTTCTTCTGCCGTTCAGTGGCCTTTTTGCTTTTAAGCACCTAGTTCCCAGTTTACTGGTGAAATAAGTTATTACATATGAACCAGTATTACAGAACCCTGCATGAAAATACAACACCTGAGTGCAGCTTCTCATTTTAAAGAATAATTTGAAACAGGAGAACAGCCGTCAGGGACAACCACCATTAAAGGGGTCATCTTACCAGAACAACCCTTCGTCTAACATTAGCATTGTTAGCATCTAACGTTTCAAATCATACGTCCAATCAAGTTGACCAATATTATCCTCACAAGGCACCAAGGACCCGCCTCCTTCAGTCCGGCTCTCGGACAGGGACCAAATATTAGTCATCACTCGGCAGGGGGGGGGGTCAAACATACGGCCTGCCGGGGGTCTGGTCTTGGCCCCCTGAATGACTTTGCTGGTGTGAGCAAAATTGCATTTCTATAAAAATAGTGGCTATTCCTAATCCGTCCCCCGGATTAAGCGGCTGCCATAGACCCACAGAGCGCTGCTGCTGGAGTGACTCCACCCCCGTCCGCCAGAACATTCCTCCCCCTCCAATGGCAAATGACCTCAATTGCTCTCTGATATTGATCGCAAGTCAGAATGGAGTCGTTTAACGGTCCGGCTGGTTTCCTTACCGCCAGCAAGTCCAGGCCATTCTTGTCCAGGTTCTTCACCATCGAGGACAGGTTGCCACACTTCCATTTGGGGAAAGTGTTTTTGTAGTCGGGTAGACTCTCTACTTCAGGCCACACGTCATTGTTCGGGGTCCCCAGAGTCCTATGGAGAGCAGAAAGGGACAGACGGATTCAAAGAGGGACGGTGCTGCTGCTCCACCCGCCTGCTTCATGTGCACATTGAGAATAATTAGATACCAAATACTGGTACGCAGCAGTAAACTGCTTTATGAAACATTAACCCCGTACGCAAATGAAGCCCATAGCTATTTATTGTGAGGACAACTAGGAGGGACACAGGAGTAAAAACAGACTGCATTGATTAAAGTTGTGTACTTAAATAAAAATACTATCAACATTCACAACACACTGAAGTAAAAGTACTCCGCATGCAGTGAAAGCAAACTTGCTACAACAGAGCAGATTTCATACAGATGTCAACCGTTCTTCCCCAACCATCCCATCAGGGGGCGCCACATCCAAGGCCCGCCCCCTCAAGACAGTTGGGAATTAAAGAAATGAATACATGTATGCAGCACGTGTGCGTCTGCCGACAACTTTGGCTTCTCAAGGTAAAGCAGCTATTCCCCTTTATTCATAAGACGGTACAGAACCAGAGAACCACCTGGACTAACCTAACAGTGCCAGCGAGGGTGCCTTACTATTGACCTGACCAGTCGAGGGTTTACCTGAAGATCCTGAAGAGCTGGTCTATCTCGGAGTCTCCATGGAACAGAGGCTTCTTAGTGGCAAGCTCTGCAAAGATGGTCCCAGTGCTCCAGACGTCAACGGGGGTCGAGTATCGGGGGGAACCCAGGAGCACCTCTGGAGCTCGGTACCACAGAGTCACCACCTGGAAACAAGGGGCTCATCCAGCTGAGTAGTCATTTGAGACGGCACACATTTGTGGATGCTCATCGAGTGTGTCCGTGAACACAAAGACATTCAACAGGACATCCCAGTGCAGCATGTGTGTGTGTGTGTGAGGGGGGTTCACACCTCATGGGTGTAGACCCTGACAGGAACACCAAAGGCCCGAGCAAGGCCAAAGTCTGCCAGTTTGATAACCCCTTTGTTGTCGATCAGCAGGTTTTGGGGTTTCAGGTCCCGGTGGAGGACTCGCCGACAGTGACAGAAGTAGATGCCCTCCAGGATCTGGTAAAGGTAGCTCTAAGAAGGTGGGGGGGGTAGGATGACATGGACACATGTTTAGAGCAGAACACAAGTAGCACAAGACATTGCCCCTCCACTAAGGTGACTCGTACAGGTTTTGGGTGCCTATTCTTTGATGCAAACATTGTGGATTGTTGTGTTCCACACATTTATTCTGACAAGACGGCCTGAAAGCTTTTAAGGCTCATTCTGCGTCACGCAGGAGCAGCAGATTGCTCATAGAGAGGAAAATAGGACACATTCTACATTTGTGTGACTTTCGCTCAACGACTTTGATTAACTGACCTCTAAACGTTCTACTCGCCTCTTGGATCCGATTCCGTCTAAGCTGCTGAAGGAAGTTTTTCCTTTAGTTTTAGCACGTCTACTGGATATTATGAATCTGTCTCTGTTGACAGTCCTTCAAGGTAGCTGTAATTTAACCTCCTCTTGCTCCAGAGGTGCCGGCTAACTACAGACCCGTCTCTGATCTTCTCTTCCTCTCTAAGGTCCTTGAGAAAACAGTCACAAACCAGTTGTCCAACTCGGCTAGTTTAAGTTAAATTTATTGTCTCAATCCCAGTTTGGACACGTTTAGGACGGCCTTTTTTCACCCATGTAATTTAGATCTAAAATCTGGCACTTCTGGTCTCAAGATGTAACATAAATGCTTCTCAATAGGTTCCATATCTTAACTGCACAATGAGCTTAAATCAAGAATTATTAATATTCCCCAAAACTCCAATATTGGAAAGAAAAAAAAGATACCCATCCCTACTAAACGGAGGGAATTTCGAAATTGTCTGAGAGATTATTTAAGATGTATGAAAGCATGCCTGTGTATTGAATGTCTGTGTGTTAGCCGTTAGCATAAATGCATCAGCTCAAGTAAGCCACCATGGACAGCTGAGGCAAAAACACTTGTATCTTGTATCAAATGTTTTCACAAACAGTTTGAAGAAATAGATTGAGAATACAAGAGGGCGTTTTTAAGCGAGCTGCCATGCGGATCCCGTTTAAATCCAGAAGCAACACATAGATCACGACTGAAGACATCAGGGCCACAGAGAGCCTTCACGTCATCGCCGCAGACTAAAGACACACCTCTTCAGACTCTACCTCCACTAACACAATCACTGGAGCACTTACATTGGACTTGTAACGTCACTCATCTATAGCGAGTTGGCTTATTTGAGGAAATTGCACTTTGTTTCTAGCTCTTGTGAGTTTGTACCCTATGGGTGAATGCACTTATTGTAAGTCGCTTTGGATAAAAGCGTCAGCTAAGTGGCATGTAATGTAATGTAATACATGCACTAACCTTTCCATGGCAACAGTGAGATCCAATCAGATTTGAATGTTATACCCTGGGAACTTCTCCACGACAAAGTGGAGATAAATAAAAACATGTCTTTCCTAACAGCAAAAAACAAACTTTGTATATAGACATGTAGTGGTTTTTACAGGTTCATCTACCATCCTCTCCAAGTCCTGGATTCAGAAGAACCTTCTGAAGGTGAACGGCTATCCACTCACCGTCGAGCTGCATCACGAGCACAGTGTGGATCTCAGCTGGACTGCTGAGGGAGCCTATTTATTGCAAAAAGTTACCTTGACCAGCATAGGGTCCATGTACTGGCCGGAGGGGATGGAGTCCAGGTACTTCTTCAGGTCCATGGACAGGAACTCAAAGATGAGGTAAAGACGCGACTCCTGCATCAGCACATCCAGGAGTCTGGGATAAACAAACACAAGAACTGGCGAGGGTCATACTCTGTGCGTGTGTGTACCTACAGGCTGGAAAAACAGATTTACTGGTAAGACTTTGCAGTCCCCAT